GGAAGTAGTTTTATTATTTGATTAATTAACCAGAGAACAATCAGTGGTCGTACAGACTGGATAACCTCGGAAATTTCCAGGCATTTTACAATAACACGTGTTGCACCCGTCCTTGAGCTTCCAGAAATCCTGGACGTCATACCAGTCTCCTTCGGAATTACAATTCCATGCTCCGTGATTTGGTTTAGCTGGAAAATATGTCATAGTCAATCAAATTAGTATTCAAATCTTGATGTTGTGATCTGACGAAATTGTATTGAAACACTTGAAAGTCATTGAGATATTCACCCAATCAAATACTCTTTTCAAGCAAATTTAACTTCAACACCTTAACTTAAATTTCCTTTTTTCTCAGGTTTGCCATACGGTCAAGGGGACACAACCCGATATTCAAAAAGTGAACGTTAATTACTGTGGTCTGTAATCCTTCTTTTGTTCAATGAAATCTCCTATGAACCATTCGTGGATTGGATAAGCCCATGGTGTACGAAAACATTCGCTTTTAAATGCCAAAAGGTGAAAATATAGAACAGGTGCAACAAAGTTTAAGCAATTTTCCGACTATAACGTTAATAAATTAAAATACAACTATTTTACATTAAGTTTATGATGCAGGTTGGAAAATCAACCCCTTGATGCCACTGGTGGTTTTGGTTTGTGAAGTCAATTTCCCTTTTAGAAAGTCCACATATTGATCATGTTATTTTGATAACCTAATCATCGCTGTAGTGAAATGTGATAACTTACCAAATTTCTTAATGTTACATTCGTGAGCAGTACAGACCATGCCTTGTTCCGTACACCGACAGTAGTTACACCCCTCGATCGTCGTCCATTTTTCTCCTATCAGATATTGATGACGATCGTAGGTACACCTACCAGCGCTCGTTTCTGCCACATAAGCAGCCAGTCCTAGAAAAGAACGATTAAAAAAATGACGATTTAAGAAAAATTCGAGATCCCCCCATTTCTTGTCCTCCCTGTCAATTTAATTTCTCTTTTAAAACCAGCCCTGTCAGTGATGCAGGTAAGAGGGGCTGACATGGAAAAAGAGTCTAGTCGTTCGGATGGGACAATAAACCGAGGCCCCGTGTGCTATAGGCTGTGCACGTTAAAGATCCCTGGACAGTTGGAAATCGAAAAAGAGCAGGATAATGCCGCTGTCCTGGCAAAACTTTCCTCATTGCACCTTGAATGGCGTCGCCAGTCTTCATTAGCCCACATGGTGTAGAAAAATAAGTCGTAAAACTCCATTCATTTCATTTCATTTCTTTTAAAACCACACAAGTCCATTATTATATCAATTTTACAGTAATTTTAAGTAATTGTTTCAATTTACCAAAAAAAAAATTTTAAAATTTACAGAAAAGATTTACTGCGTAGCCTACCTGTAATTAGCAGTGCTACAGTTACTCCGTTCATCGTCTCTTCATGTATTAGAGTGTGGGTCTGAAGGTCAAATATACTTTTTAATGTCTTCTTGATAATAAATATGTTCCAAATTTCACTGATAAGGAATAAAATATGGCCTTGTCAATGGGTAAGGTAGAGATAAATTTAGCACAAACCCATATTTTTTAATTGGAGTGCTCATGGTATAGAGATGCATGTTAAAGATTCCCGGACATGGAAAAATATATCCTGTTTTTTTTCCCCCATTGCAAACAGTATGGTTTTATCTAAATCTAAATCTGGAAACGGTTATCAAATCTTATACACATAAGTCTTTAATTGGCTAAATCTTATCTCGTACCTACACGTTTATTTATTTACTTACATTTTACTTATCACCTAGTAGTTCTAAGTTTTTTACAAATCGAACGCCCCTGATTTGAATGGAGTTATTTATCGAACGCCTATGACTATTCAAGGGAAATAACTCACATTACAGGTCAAAGGTTGTAGTTAAAAACCACGCCATACAAATCAGAACACGTCGCTTGCGGACACCGGGAGCTTTTCTACTTGATCTTGGTTGTACTTTTCTACTTTGTCAAAATGTCGGCAGAAGTGAGTATGATCATCGGTTTAATATTTTGGAACTATTTTATAGTGTTGTCTGATTCTGTGTCAGCCATTTCCATTTCTTATTTTTGATTTCATTTTTATGATCGCACGATAATTTCAAATGTCTTTTTACCACCGAAAGAATTTAGATCTATTTTATTGTTATGATACTGATAGTTGTCAAAAGTTTCATTAAAGAAACTTGCCTAAAAATTCATCAAAGAACCTTTTACATTGGGAATCTGAAATGAGAAAAATATTCCCTCATTCATTGCACATTTGTAGTTATTGTAGCTCGTCTTCATTGGCTGTCCTGTGCAAAAACTTTTCAAATAATCTTCTTGCTTTTTACTTAGTTCACAACAGCAGCAGAAGAGGTGAAGAATTTAAAAGAAAAACCAGCAGATGCAGAAATGTTGGAAATTTATGCTCTATATAAACAGGCTACAGTAGGAGATGTTAATACCAGTAAGTAACAAGGTCCTCTAGTCTAGACATAATTATGATGCCATGACCAATGCCTTTGACAAAATGTTAACAAGATATTTGCTAATAGCCTAGTAGAACCACCATCATTAAATATATAGTAAGTGTGGTTGGATTGTTGTGAATCCACATTGCTTGATAAAAAGAAGCACTATAAAGGTAGTTGCTGTATCAAGGGTTAGAGACTCACCACCTGTTAGATATCAAGTTATATTGAGAGTGATCTATATAGGTTATTGTACTTAAAGGTTCAACATGACCTAATCTTCTCTATCAATTTATTAATGTGGGTCATTTTGATTTAATTTTGATAATATATGTCTACATTCTTTCTTCACCTAGCATTTCAAAGGAAAACTGTGTATGGGGCAAAGTCCATTGCAGTTGGTTAAATAGGTTCAAATTTTTTCTTTCTGTGCAGTGTATTTCTTTTACCCCGCAAAAAAATTAGATAAGGCCCCTTTTAAAAAAAAAAAAAAAAATGACTCTTTATGGCAAGTATGCAAAGAATATTGATGATGTTTGACAATTCTGGTTTATTTCAGCACGACCAGGCATGTTAGATTTCACTGGTAAAGCTAAATGGGATGCATGGGAGGCTAAAAAAGGTAAGGTTTATCTCAATTGGACTTTAGCAGTTAGGGTGACTCATAGAGTAAGACACTCCCTCTCTAATCTTGAGAACTAAGCTTTGAATTTGACATGGGTTGAAAAAGTTACTTAAGATTTTTGAACCAGGTTTACCCTGTCAGTGATTAAGGTCTAGGATTGACATGGAAAAAGTGTATGTGTTTATGTTATGCATATTATAGATCCATTTACAATTGGAAAATTAAAAATAGTAGGTTAATGTTATTGATGTGTCCAAATTTTGCACATTGCAAACTGTGATGATGTACATCTTCCTTGCCATGGAGAACAATACATATATTTTACTTCAAATCTAATATCTTGACTTGTTGACAGGAACAAGTAAAGAAGATGCAGAAAAGGCCTACATTGCCAAGGTAGCTGAATTAAAAGGAAAATATGGAATGAGTAAGTACAGTTTGCAAAAAGTTACAGGAATTCCGACTGAAGCATGGTTGTTACAACACATCCATGTAATTTTGTGCTGAAATAACAATTTTGTTTTCTATGCACATAAAGTTGTTTTAATCAGAAGAATACACTACAAAACAACAGGAAGGAAATTTAGAAGCACATCTTTTTTGCCTATCGTCTTGTCCTCTAAATAGTCTTCAGAAGTACTAAAAATGTACAAAAATTGCCTCAATCACAGATAAATCTTGAATACACTTGAATTTGAAGGCCCAAATTTCCACGTTGAGCTGTAAACTCTATTACTGATTATCTGTTTCTGAGACTAAAGTATGATTGCTCAAACAAATGGAAAACCTGTAATCAAAATATTTTTTTTAAATTTCAGAATAACTGAAGATCTTGGTTTAGTCAAGTTCAAATGATTTTTCCGCATGTCATCTTTTTTTTATTTCACCCTATTTATTTTTTGTTCATTTTTTTTTTAATCATAATCATAATGATCGATTAAAATATCAATTATATCATTACAAGGATGTAATTTTAAAAAGGTAAAAGGTTCATCCCAGTTTGAAAATTAAACAATGTATGTGGTACAGTCCCTTTAGTATTGTGATAGAGAAACATTTGTCCAAAAATTTGCGTAAAAAGCTGATAGAGCTGAATGTCAGCAATGCATAACGTCTAAACTTTGCCAGTACATGTTAAATTGTAGTCGAACATGATGCCCAAATTTAATTTTACAAAGTGACAGAGCTAACTGAAATTTACTCTGCAAGCTAATATAGTGAACAGACAATCGTTTCTCTTAAGGGCAAATCAGTCAATCATGATGTTGGAAATTTATTTTCTTTTTAAATGGTTAAAGTGCTTCTTGTTAATTTTTTTCATAATTTTTCATAAATTTGTTCATGATATAGATTTTGGTCTTATGAAAGCATACTTTTTTTTTTACTTTTTCTATGATGAAATAATAAATGTTATTAAATTCTTGAAAAGAGTAAAATATTTCTTAAATGTTTATCAGTCAACAGCTTTCTGTGTGGATTATATTGTTGGTACACTAGTCTGTCAGTAAATGTGGATAAAAAAGATCACTGTCTCTGTTCTTCTAATAGATTTCATGTACATGTATTATACTTTAGAAAGCATATTTCTTTACAAATTTTTAGAAACCCAATTTGAGTTGTGTCCCTTGGTCTGCCCAATACGTTTGTTGATTGGTAGATGACGGCCGCGTCCAGCAAATGCTGATCTCGCAGACATTCTTTGCTTTCATAGACACATCCATACATTGTGCTCTAAAGATCTGGCAATATTTCTCTCTGCACACTGAATGGCGTTCAAAATGTTTAGAAAACATAAGCCGAAGTTTAGGTTTGCTGAAAACTTAGTCAATCACAATTGTTTGTGTTCATATAGAAGATTTGATACATAATATACCTACAAGGGCCAATCTGGATCTGACTACAGAAATCACAAAGTTACGTGGATAAAATGCTAGAAAACATTCAAATCTCTTCAATGTTTTTTTTTTAGCCGCAGTGAGCTTTTAGGCGCTGGGTTCCAGGGTTCAACCCTGACATAGTTTGCGATAATATCTTTTTTCAATCCGATTTCCCCCTGTTAGTGGTGCAGGTCGGACGGGCTGACATGGAAAAAGCGTCTAGTCCTTCGGGTGGGACAATAAACCGAGACCCCGCGTGCCACAGGCTGTGCACGAAAAAAATCCCTATACAGTTGGAAATCCAAGATGTGTTGGCTGACACCACTGAAAGAGATTTCCTTCAATGCACATTGCATGACGTCATTAGTCTACGCTTTCATTTCATTTAAAACGTATTTAATCGTCCTATTCAAAGGGCACAGTTGAATGAACACATTGTTATTCACACAATAGAGCTCGACAGAGACTGCTATTGACTCCACTGACCTTCCATTCGGCAATCCTCGGCAGTTTTCGCAAAGCAGAGCGCTAGAAGAACTTCAACGGTAATCGTCGGCAGTTTCCATAAAGCTGAATCTGAACTTTTATGGTAAGCGTTTTGCTTTCACGCTAGGCTGTTTGCTATCCTGTATACATGATAACATACTGAAATTTGTTGTTATTCTTAACCGTGGGTGAAACTTTTGCATGCTTTAGTTTTTATATATTTCACTCATTGCACACTACGTGATGCCCGTTCATTCATTTTATGATTCTGATCGACTGTGTGGAATAATGTTCATACTCTCCTCAGCCTGCACAGACTATAGGCTCTAGATATAACATATATTCTATCCTGCAAAATTCTGCAAAACTGTGAACAAAAGACAAGAGGAAAATCCCCTACAGTAAAGGGGATAAAACTGTCCGTAGCTCAACGAGCCATCCGTTGCGCTTACGGAGATGTTAAGTCGTTTGAGGACATATGTAAGCAGACAATTGGATTTTATTTCATTTTCCACACACAATCATGTCTGGCTATGGGCCCTAGATATATTTCACGTTTCAAAAATAATTTTCATCTCTCACAAAGATGTTATTATCACGATAATATATACCATCATACATGTAAGACAAGAAAGACCGGTTTAAATAAGACACTCTCGTCACGCAATTCTTTGACTCGATATTCGCATTCTTCAACTCGGTTTCCCTGTCAAGTGATGTAGATCGGAGAGACTTACACAAAGGACAATGATCTGAGGCCCTGTGCACTTCAAGCTATGCAATGAAGTAGACTTTGACAGTCGGAAATCGAAAAAGATTAGGTTGATGCAGTCTAGGCGTAGAGCTCTTTTTCAGGTTGAAAATGGATGTATCAGAAGATCCAAATTTTAAGACATCATCGGATGGACTTACGCACTGTCGGGACCTCATTAAAGCTAGAGATGGTCTGACGAAAGAGGAAATAGCAAAAACTTTTGACGCTTGGGTTGTTAAAGGAACTTACGAATCGGTAAGGTTTCTCACTCCTGTTTCGAGAATTCATTTCTTGCTCTTTTAATTTTCTATTATTCTTTTTTTCTGGGGATCTGTAGCCGCCTTAGGGGTGGGGGCCCGTGGACCTGATCAACCAGTTTTAATGGTAGTTGAGCCACTATCGGTATAACAAGATAGTTAAATTTTGGGAATTCTTTCAATTGCTTTTTGTTTTAGCGCCAAACTAAATAGACAACTCTAGTTTATGTTTGTAACCGACTACGAACTATATTAATTTTTTCTTGTAGGACACATCAAGGCTGGGCTATGTCGGACCCCAGGTCACAGCCGAAACCGTCTCTAAACTTTATGACGATGTTCAGCGTGAACGTATTAAAATACTCGACGTTGCTGCTGGTACTGGCTTGCTATCGCGAGAGGTAGGTCAAAGCACGTGCATAATTAATGATGACCTATTGATATGCGTTACGCGGTCTTTATCTATATACAGTTAAATGGTTTTCAAATGTTTGATTTCTGTTGTCTGGATGTCAGTTATATCCAAATTTGATTTATCCGACGGATAGAGCTCATATGACATTCAGTTAATCAAAGTTGTCGAAGCGTACCAAGCTTTATATAATTGACTGATATTTTGGCTTTTATAGAGGATGAACATTGGGTTCACTTTTTCAGCTAAGAAAATATGGATTTAAGAATATTGACGGTGTTGATCCCAGCGAGAAATCAAAAGAATTGGCAATGAAAGATGGTCTATATGATAGATATGTGGTAGATTTTGTTGATGAGCATGATCTTGATATTCAATCAGGTAAAGGTCTAATTTTAGAAACTAAGTTAGTTAAATCGGTAGACGGCTGCGATATCAACCTACCGTTTTCTTTTAGTCTTACAACGCTACTGTCGGTACTTTGTCTGCACTTTGAAGAAAAAATTATGGTCAAATTGCTTTGAAATCGATCAAATTTACACGTCACTCAAAGAACAATACCTCCATTAAAATCCTTTAATATAAACACCTGTTTATTTATCAGCGAGTAGTGAACATTTTGGTATTTCCCCAGCCATGTTCTTATAGGCCATCAGTATTCCAATTGGCTGTCACAGTAGTTCATGAACACCGATTGTCTTTCTTTAAGGACTGGTGCAGGTCGTGTAAGAACTTGAATAGAATTTTGAACAAAATATATTGGAAGCATGATATTAAGTGTTGATTGGTTCTAGTATATTGACAGAGGTTATTTACGGCGCATCAGATGACTATTTTCAGCGATTCGGATCATTAAATTTTCTTCTGGATCTAAAATCTCGTCAAACTCCCGAGACTTGGGTACAACTAGGGGGCATACTGACTTTATGGGGGACAACTAAGTTGGTCGAGATTCAAACTCTGGCAGCTCATATTTTAGTGGAAACACATATAAATACGATATTTTCAGATTTTTTAGAAATCAAGAGGGGGTGCAAACCATTTTTCTAAGGGGCCAAATGCCGTGTGCCCGAATAGGAACTGAAAAGTATGGCGTAAAATATCTTCTACTTACCTTTTCGTTTTTTTTACAGAGTATTATGATTGTGTAACATCTTCAGGAGGATTTTCTATAGGATTAATGTCTTGTAGTTCAATAAAGGAATTCATCCGAGTTGCTAAAATAGGTAAAATTGGTCTTTTACCCAGTGGCGGAGCCAGGTTTGCGTCCGAGAGGTGCCGAAATATCTGAGATTGCCCGAATTTCTAACCTAGTTATGAGATTTTTGCCCCCCCCCCCCCCCCCTTTGGATCCGCCACTGCTTGTACCTTTTTCCAATACGGAATCTAAACTTAACAACGTTACTCGTCCAGTACTGGATTATTATCGCGTGAGGTAGGTCCATGCACACGCATATTGAAAGATTTCATTATTCCTTTATTCTATGTGGAATTAATTAGTTGAACGAATCCCATACCAATTAGAATAATAACACGCTGTTTAAAACTTGTACCTTTGTTTCAGGTGGTATAATATGTTTCAGTTTGACAAATTATGTTGTAACTGCTGGTGAAAAGTACATGGACAGGTTCGAACCTTGTCTGGTGCAGTATGAGGACTCGGGTGTTTGGCAAAGACTCAGTAAAACTCATGTGAAATCCTATTACGACAATGCTCCTGGAATAATTTATGTTTTTACTAAAATAAAATCTTTATAAATATGGTGTTTAATCTTTCCAACACACCTAGAGTCTTTATTTGTCTATTTCAACCGATATATTTATCCATTCTGACCAGGCCAAATTGTTTGGAAAAAGGAAAAACCCATTAAAAACAATTTTTGGCCCTTTGGCGCAGGCGACTTTAATTGTATACCTGTCATTGACTAGTATCTTTCGTCCAAGCTGTACGTAGACAAAGACGGACTGAGTGATAGAGGACATTTAAAACTAATGCAATGCATAAGAGGGCAGGAAGTTGAATTGTTGTCCGTTTTGGCATTTGGCAACATGCAGAGAAGATGCGGAAAGGGCCATCATTGCCAATGTGCTGAATTAAAAGGAAAAATCAATGTTTGATATGACAAGAGTCGTTCGGTGGAATACAACGAAAGAGTGAGAATCAGTTTGCTAATTCACGCAAGGTTGTTATTACACCTCGGAACCGAGTGGCTCAGTTAACCTGATGGTCAAGGGGTCATATGTCAATTTAAGATGATACCTTCGGATTTTTAAACCCAATTTCACCTTTGTCACTGATGCACATCGAAGTAGCTGACGTGGAAGAGACGTTTAGATGGGACAGTAGGCCTAAGTTGTAAATCCATAAAAAATTTAAAATAGATAAATAACCCACGGATTACTATGACTTATTTCATTTTATGATCTCTCAAGCGTAGTGACACATAATGAATTTTAAAGACCGGTAGATCTTGAGACCAAGAAATATATTTCCCCTTGTAATTTGATCCAGATGATCCACGTGATTTCTAATTTAAATCCTAAGATAACAAAAAGTAGAATCATCTGTGCGCTATGTTCTGTAAATCTAATTGGTCGGGAAACTTGTAATCCTTTACTTATCAAAATTTACTAAACAGGATTAAAAGCCTTGATTTTCGAGGCCGAAACTGACCTTGAAATTAAAGAGGAATAGGTTGTTGGTTGGAAATGAAGGTTTATTGAATTTAAAGGCTCCTATTTGCATCATTTTGATCTCCTGTCTTACATTTGTAACAAAAAAACAGATCATGACGTCACTCTCACAAATACCATTTGACCTAAAAAAAAAAAGAAGCTTGATATGATATGCATACAAAGGCCAATTGTACCATAGAAAATAACATTTTGCCAACACTTTCTGTCATGTAGTTTTTTATGATATTTCGTACGTTAGTGCAAAAAAATCTCTTTAAAACGTTAAATTAAGGCCGTCACTTAATGACTTGTAGACAGCTATTGACCCCAATAGCCTACAATATATATATATATAATGTAGCCTACTGAATAGTAACCTTCTCTACACTTAGTGTGAAGCTGTTACCATTATAACAAAAAACAGTTGTAATTGTAACGATATTCTTTACCCTTTAAACAACCAGGTATGTATGCTTTAGTTTTTATATACATTACATTTCCCTCATTGCACACTACAAGATGTTAGTTTGAACGTTGTGATGAACCATGAACAGAAAGGGGATTAGACTATATAGGTATATCACTTTTCACATTTAGTATGAGTAATATTCTAACCTTTGTTGTATTGGATTGTATTGTTGTATTAACACTGACAAGATACAACCAAATCACTGCATTTATAAGTATTCGTGATACAAAAAAGGTGGCTATTGCAGTCAAGGTATCAGACGAACTTCGTAATAGTTTTACATTGTGATTAGGGTATCGGGAACACGAAGTATATTATATTCGCACTTGACATCTGAATCTTAATAACTTTTACACAAACCGGATATGACGTTTGGCCATTTGAACTTAACCTATACATAAGCAATTTCTGTACAGCAAAACATGCTGTGTGTCTGTTGCATATAAGAAATACTAAACCATATCATTACAGCTGGAAATTATGTGACAGAATTTTAACTATTTATTCAGAGTTTTACTTGGAATAAACATGTAAAATTTTAAAAAAGATATTACTTCAAATAAACAAGATTAAACCTCTTCTATCTCCCAACCTATGAAATTTTATTAAGCTCATTTTCAATCCCACATTGACTACTGCTCCACCATTTGAGGTTGTTGGTTTATAAACATCCGTTATCCACAGACAGTTCTAGAAATACTTATATGGGACTACTTGTATGTTATCTATATCTATGCAATTTTATCCACATAATTAACATTTCAACCAATACCATATCATAACTGATACTCTTTATTTTTCGCTCTAATTAATATTATATTATTATTATTATTCATAAAATTGATAAGAATCCCATCTGACACCCAAACAATTTTACTCCTTGACGCTTTCTGTTTTCATCCCGACATAGGCCAAGATAATACCTTTCTTCAACCAGTGATGCAGATTGGATAGACTGACATTGAAAAATTCCCCAGTCTTTCGGATGGGACATGGATCTGAGGCTCTGCGCGCTACATGAAAAACAGGCTAATGCAGTTGTGCTTGTAAATTTTTCCTTATTGAACACTTCATTGTGATGTAATTATTGTGTAATATAGAACAATATGATGTATACTCAATTTCACTGCATACATAAGTTCTGTTATAAAGATATATCAGTCTATTTCAGATTAAAAATGGCATTATCCGAAGATAAAAATTTTAAGAAATTTTACAAAACATCGCCCGATGGACAACTGCACTATCAGGACGCCATTAAAGCTAGAGAAGGTCTGACGAAAGAGGAAATAGCAAAAACCTTTGACGCTTGGGTTGATAAAGGAAAGTACGAATCGGTAAGGTTCATCTCCTGTTTCTCCTGTTCAGTGAGTTCGCAAGCACTGTTCACCTATTACCTCCCTTTTCAAACCTACCCAAGCTTCTGATGGAACATTTTATATCCGAAATTATAAATGTCGGCAGCATTTTATGAGCTCTAGTCACTATCTAAACTGGAATTCAAGATGAGGATGTTATATCCGAAACCCCTGTCTGTAACATGAGGTGTAAATTGAGTCATAGCTTACTAGCATGTACTTTCAGTTGCTATTGTATGTTTCAAAAATCAAAAGGTCTGTTCTAGTTTATTCTTGAAACACACCGAACATGCAGTGACAGACTAACCTAATATTTCATTGTAGGACACATCAAGGCTGGGCTATGTCGGACCCCAGGTCACAGCCGAAACCGTCTCTAAACTTTATGACGATGTTCAGCGTGAACGTATTAAAATACTCGACGTTGCTGCTGGTACTGGCTTGCTATCGCGAGAGGTAGGTCAAAGCACGTGCATAATTAATGATGACCTATTGACATGCGTCACGTGGTCTTTATCTATATACAGTTAAATGGTTTTCAAATGTTTGTTTTCTGTTGTCTGGATGTCAGTTACATCCAAATTTGATCTATCCGACGGATAGAGCTCATATGACATTCAGTTAATCAAAGTTGTCGAAGCGTACCAAGCTTTATATAATTGACTGATATTTTGGTTTTTATAGAGGATGAACATTGGGTTCACTTTTTCAGCTAAGAAAATATGGATTTAAGAATATTGACGGTGTTGATCCCAGCGAGAAATCAAAAGAATTGGCAATGAAAGATGGTCTATATGATAGATATGTGGTAGATTTTGTTGATGAGCATGATCTTGATATTCAATCAGGTAAAGGTCTAATTTTAGAAACAAGGTCAATGCACAAGCAAACATTTTTGAACATAATATACTGGAAGCTTAATCTAAAAAGTAATGCAATATGGATGTGGGTGTGCTGTTTCTGTAGGATTATCCACCAGGGCTTGCCCCGGTCTCCCCTACATCGCATCTGAAGCCGAAGCCGAAGGCTGATTCCAACCTCGGATAGTCGAGGTGCGGTGTATAGCGTAGGGAATTAATGATATTGGCGTATTTAGGCGGTAATTTTGGGTCATGAAAATGGCGTAAAACTTAATTCATTTGCATTTTGTTTATTTATAGAGTCTTATGATTGTGTAGCATCTACAGGAGGATTTGCTGCAGGATTGATGCCTTGTAGTGCCATAAAGGAATTCATTAGAGTTGCTAAAATAGGTAAAAATGGACTTGTCAGTCTTAGCTACTGTGTCTTAAACAGGAAAGATTTTCTCTGTTTCTCTTGGAGCGCTATTGGTGTCCATTTGGATAGGAACAGCTTGTAGACTACGAAAAGACTATAGACACGGAGATTATTATGGATTATGACAATTTGCGTCGGTCAGAAGTATCGTATTCGTTTAAATATGAACTCTGTGTATAGTTTGACCTTTATTTCAGGTGGTATGATATGTTTCAGCGTACCAGATTATATATACACAGCGTGTGAAGAGTACAGGGACAGGTTCGAACCCCGTCTGGTGCAGTATGAAGACTCGGGTTTGTGGAAAAGACGCAGCAAAACACCTGTGAAATCTTACCTCGATAATGCTCCTGGGACAATTTATGTTTTTACTAAAATTAAATCTTTATAAATACCATACCATGCTTATTCTGTCCAACACAACTAAAGTCTGAATTTGTCTATTTGAGCTAATAGAACTCGACTATGGGTGAATGTCCAGTGTCGGCTCCAGACTCCAGGAACAAATAGGGGGAAATTCAGATCAGTACTAGACCTAATGTCATAAATCCAAAATGAACGTTTAGACGCCAATGTATATCACATTATCCAAAATGATATTTTAGACGATAATAATCCTTTGAAAGGTCAAGGCCATCAAAGGGAGGCTACTCGGAAAAATGATTGATTTTTTTTTATTAATTAGCCTACGAGTTTGTAGATATCCGTCTTTTTTTCATGCAATGGTTGTTGTTTCAAAACTTTCGACAGTTTAGGTTAAGTTAGTTTTCTAGAACAAGATTGTCATATAATTGGGTCCTGACAATGTTATAATTCGAAACAATGTGTGAAGTTAAAACTTTTGTGAAAGATTTTCACGATGAGGATTCTGTGAGGGACATGAAATATAATTCACTGGGGAACACTGGTATTCAAGTTTCAGATATAAGTTTTGGTGAGTTAAACAAAGCTGTTAGTATTGGATGATCTATCTGAAGAGTTGTAAGTCAGTTTTATAATGTAACCATTGATTCAGAAGCCTGTTACCCTTTTTGTATAACCTACCATTAGTACAGTCAAGTAACCTAATTTCGTGCTAACCTTTTTTTTTTCGTGCATTTCCGGAAAGGATTAATAATTTACCTGTGTGACCTCTGCATTTGCTTGTTTTGATAAACATGGGTTATCTGTACAATGTCAGCTAGTAAAATGAATCCAGTAGTTTCAAGCAAGGTAAAATGTATTAATGTATACAGTGGTGTAACCTATTTTCGTGGATATAAGGATTCCACACCGAATTTCGTCAAAGTTAAAAAAACGAATTTTTTTTTTCATGTCTTAGAAGTTTCCTCAGATATTCTACAAAATAATTAAAATTGGTTTATTTCGATTTTCTTTATGAATCCTTCACTTTGACCCATATTTCATGAGCAACCAACTCGGCAACGGCGGCAGAATGCGTCACCTATTTTCGTGTACAATGTTTGAACTATAAATAAGTCGAGAAAAACACGTTGTATGAATACCATGTGGTATAATTAACTTCTCTTAGTATTTGTCTTTAATATCAATTCATTATAACTAGTGACAATTCCTTCAAAGAACCACGATTTAAAAAAAAATAGTGACTGACAAAATAAGATACGTAGTGTGATTTATTGCTAAAAGTCACTGAAACAACATAAGAATATGGTCCACTTTGTGTTCCATAGAAATTTTCTGCTGACACGGAATCCGCTAGTTGATCGCTTGACTTCATTCGTTGGACTACATTCTAGCAGACGACACTTGGAATTCCGATTACAGCTAGGGATTATAAGGAAATTCGACCGATAGAAAATGGTGACGTTTGGTAATAAGTGTAATCCGCCATTTTGTATTTGTCAAAGTACACATTAATATATTTACCATGCTTGAAACTACTGAATTCATTCTACTAGCCGATATTGTACAGAAAACCCATGTCTATCAAAATAAACAAATGCGGAGGTCTCGCAAGGTCGCTCAAGGTCGCTCATGTAAATTATTAAACATTTCCGGAAATCCACGAATAATAGGTTTCCACGAAATTAGGTTACTTGACTGCAGTCGGGATGTCGAATTGTTATATGCACGAAAATAGGTTACACCACTGTACTAATCAAGGTTCACCTGCCACATATTAATCAAGTCAGATAATTGAGAAGATGCCAAGAGATGCCAGCTCAGAGATGGTTGAGAGGATCTTCTGTATTGTAAAATATAGATCTAAATTTAACCAGTTGTAAGTTAAAATTGTCTATCTGATATTATATTTCTGAATAGTCTTCCAAATATGGCCAATATGATGTCAGTTGGTAGGATTTCATGGTAAAATGCTAACCCTTTCAACAATAGTAATACCACCAACATAATTAAATGAGATGTACACCATGTTCAAAAATTTAATGAATGATAATTTTTTTGTATATTTCAGGTGCGTCTCCTTTGGCGGGAGTTTTTATGCCTACAGAGGAAGTGGAATCCATCAAAACAGTACGAGAGGCCTTGAAACATGGAATCAATTATATTGACACAGCACCTTGGTATGGTCAGGGCAAGTCTGAATCAGTGCTGGGAAAGGTATGAATGATATAACAAAATATACTTGACAGTCCAACTGCAGAATCAGAATCAAACATGATAGAGCTTGACATTGTTGGGTTTAATTGATAATCACAAAAACCTGATCAATTGGTATATATACAATACATAGAACAAGGCTGATCTAAATAATATACAGTGGTGTAACCTATTTTCGTGGATATAAGGATTCAACATCGAATTTCGTCAAAGTTAAAAAAACGAAAACAAATTTTTATGTCTTAGATGTTTCCTCAGATATTCTACAAAATAATTAAAATTGGTTTATTTCAATTTTCTTAATGAGTCCTTCACTTTGACCCATATTTCATGAGCAACCAACTCGGCAACGGCGGCAGAATGTGTCACCTATTTTCGTGTACAATGTTTGATCTATAAATAAGTCTAGAAAAACATGTTGTATGGATACCCAGTGGTATAATTAACTTCTCTTAGTATTTATCTTTAATATCAATTCATTATAACCAGTGACAATTCCTTCAAAGAACCACGACTTTTGTATTTGTCAAAGTATACATTAATACATTTTACCTTGCTTGAAATTACTGGATTCATTCTACTAGCTGATATTGTACAGAAAACCCATGTTTATTAAAACAAACTAATGCAAAGGTCGCTCACGTAAATTATTAATCATTTCCGAAAATCCATGAATAATAGGTTTCTACGAAATTAGGTTACTTGACTGTATAAATCACAATCCCAAGCCCAAAAGTTGACTAGATTGACATTGAAGCAACACACATGATAAACAAATTAGCAAGGTCTTCTGTTCTCTAATAAGCTCCAGTCTATTTTTTAGTTTTGATACATGAATTCTATTTTTCAAGGCACTACAAGATATACCTCGAGAATCCTATTACCTAGCAACGAAAGTCGGTCGCTATGAGTTACAGTGGGATAAAATGTTTGATTTTAGTGCTGAAAAAACTAGGAAGAGTTTCGATGATAGTTTACAACGACTTGGTTTAGATTATATTGATGTCATACAGGTATGTTACTGACTCTATTTTCCTCATTGCACACTGTATGTTATAATGTCATTATGTCATCGTAAATAATTTTATTAAATAATGTGTTTCAACAGTTGTTTCATTGTAAGGAAACAAGATGCATTATTTTAATTCTGAAAAGTAACACAGATAAATGAAATCTGCTGGTAAAACAAATTTTTGACTGTATCTCTCAATTCTTTCTTGATTTCAGGTCCATGATATGGAATTTGCGCCTGATTTAGATATTATTATTAATGAAACCTTGCCAGTGTTAGATGAAATCAGGAAAAGTGGTAAAGCCAAGTTTATTGGAATAACAGGCTATCCTCTTGGAAATTTTAAGTAAGTTTTGTCTAGACTAGAGAGTGAAAGACAACACTGCGCTGAGTGTCAGAAACCCTGGCCAGGGCATGGTATGAAAATTGTACTGTGAAGATTTTGGAAATTTGAAAAGAGTAGGCTATTGTTACTATTGCTGCTGATTGCAATTAAAATACAGAATATTATTAGTTTTCTGTCATGTTCGTGTATTTTGATATTGAATAACAAGCACACATCTACATGTTAAATATCCGAGGCTGTATTTTGGAAATTGTCTTCATGGCATGTATATTCCTCTTGTATTTGATTTTTGATTTAATTTGCAGGAAGGTTTTAGAGAGAAGTTCAGTCAAGATAGATATAGTATTAAGTTATTGTCATGGAGCAATGTATGATGATTCTATCACTGAGATTATACCTTATTTAAAGGTATGCTTACTCTTTTTAACTGGTGCTTGCAAACTTACCTGAAGGTCCAAAAATTAATTCCTGCATTTTTTTATAGAACTTATAATCTTATCTTTGCACTCTTGTCAGTACATTAAAGTTGCAGAATTTTTTTTATTTGAATTGGAATATCAGCTTTTAACAAAGGTGATAATTATATATTTACATTTCCTTGCTAATGTCCTACTCTCTTACTACTTTCATTAGTAAATCAGATTTTATAGATAAATTTCATGAAAACAGACATATCAGCTTCAATAGTACTGATAATCTTAGAATGAGATGCTTTGTTTTAGGAGCAGACTAAAGCCAGTGCCACCTGGCACACAGTTGGTAAAACGAATATTTAGACGACTATATTTCTTTATAGTTTTCCATTTCAGAGCAAGGGTGTTGGAATAATAAACGCTGCTCCAATTGGAATGGGATTATTGTCCAATCAAGGACCACCTAAATGGCACCCAGGCAAACCAGAAACCAAAGAGGCGTGTCAACAAGCAGCCCAATATTGTCAGGTAGTAGTAACAGGATTTATAATTCTTTCAAGTAACTATAATATTATACTCATATTAAAGCTCCCAATGCATATTTTGGATAAGCAACCAATCATCAGTAGCGCTGGTTGATAAAACCATCTTTATTCATTTATATTCCAAAGTTTTTACTTTGTGATGTAAGGTATTACACTGTAAAATTTTTATAGAGTGAAATGTTGAAATGTAGTCAACTAAAAATACGTTGCCAGCTCAAGAAGAGAGTGTCAAGATTTATCTTATGAAAAATTTTGATCAAAAGTAAAAGTTTAATTTTGATCAAAAGTAAAAGTTTCTTTCTTTCTTAATGATGGCAAACTATTTGATTAATTAGTGTTTCTAATGAATTATCATGTATTCTTAATCATGTAATGATGTTATTATTGCATATAATTAAGAGTTTTGACCAATCATAAATGTACATGTATGTACAGTCTGGATAAACAAAAAACGACGTTTCTTGATCGGTCACTCATTAGAATACTTCTGGTAAATCTCTTCTAATTTAACAAATTATGAATTAATTATGGACATGTGAGACAAGCTGGTATTTTTCCAAGTCATTAGAACACCTCTACTTTCTATTAATATAAGTATTAGCATTTTCATTTTCATAAAAGTAAGGGAACCCATCTTTAACACAAATTTGGATAACAAGTCCATCGGCATGCATTTTCATTTTAGTAGAGGTGGATTGTTTGAGTTTATATATATTTATTGGCAATTTTCTAGGATAATGAGGTAGATATATGTAGACTAGCTATGAAACATAGTTTAAACTTACAAGGTGTTGATACCACTATAGTGGGCATGGAAAGGTATGTGTCTTGCCTTTATGTTATGGCTGCAGAGAATCAGAGAAATCTCCTTCCAAACATGGCAGAGAGGGATGGAAAAATGTGTTAGAGTCCAGCGGGATTACTTAGAAAACTAGTAGTTATTAGTTATAGTCTCAAAATAAATATTGACACCAGTCCTGAAACATTTCTGACACTTCGTAAATAAATAATTAAAAATGTAAATAAATATATAGATACCGTACATAAATAAAAAAAATGATATTAAATACATAAATAATAAATAGTTATATTAAATATTTTCATTGTTAAAATAATTCTCAATACATGTAGAGTGATATAGAAATATTAAAACAGAACAGAGTTTCATGCTGTGTGGTCATCAGCCAACTGAGTTATTTCAGCCTGTGTTCAATGAATAATAATTAAATAAATGAATAAAAAATCAATTATAGATAATTTAGTTTGTAATTTTGAATTTTACTGTAGATGTGAAGTAGTAGAGAAGAATTTTATAATCAGAAAAACAGATTTAACAGAACATGAGAGACAGATTTATAATGATGTTATCAATAAGTAGGTCAACATTTTTATTTTATGTTCATTTATAATAGATTGTTTTTATTAAAATCTGCAGCTTCCACAAATGACTGTACATAGACAAAAACCATCATGGGGAGCATGATTATTACCAAAAAAAATAATTTAAATCTTGCCTTAAAAATCAAGAATTTTTTGTAGATTTATGAAAAGTCTGAAGATTTTTATACGTCCACACATAAAATGGGCGTATTTTGTACTTTTTTTTCTTTCTAATTTGTTCATGTAAAAAAGTTGTTAAAAATGTTTCTTGTTTTTTGTAGATTTATGAAGCCTCTGAATAATTTAAACTGGGAAGGAATTGAAGTTGAACATTATAATAAAAAAATAGCTGCACTTCAAAATCAGTAATGATTGACCAATGACAAGCTGGTATCCTTATTTGTTATCTTTTAAATGATTGACCAAGGACCAGCTAGTAGACAGAATTCCTTCTCGATCAATTAGATTCCTTCAAACAAAATATTGCGGGAAAATATTTGAATATCCAGATGCACACTTTTTAGTACAAAATACTTTTTCCTGATAATTGAGTCTTAAAGTTCACGGTTGAGTTCTTTTCATAAAATGCCCATTGCCAAACAGCTATTATATAGTTTTCAGAAAATGAAAGGGAAGAATTTCTTCTATAATCTTTAAACCTCATCAGAATATTCATATTTATTTGAAATGCTAAGGAGTGTTATTAGTAATGACAAGAATATGGGATCGTGAAAGCAACGGATAGATAGATGGAAAATATCTACTGTTGCTAAATGAACATGCTGGTAGAAGGGATCTTTGGAGAACCTTAGTTGTTATCCTGATAAAATGTTTGTTCCTCATTATTCTAGTCAATCTAGTAATAAATAGATATGGATCATCTAAAAAAAAAAAGACTGTAGTTCAGAATGATATTTTTTTTTATTCAGTATTTGAAAAAAGTTCATCTCATGCTGTAGAGTGTCAGTAATTGTAAAGTCTGTGGATTATTGTTGTTGAATAATATTTGATAGTTATATTTTGTCTTTATATAGAGTTTTCGTGTTTTTTTATTGTGATTTGTTTTTTGTATATTTTCCTCCACAAGTTTGAATTTTTTATTACGAAGTTTTATTGTTGAAAATTTGTTTTTTTATTATGGTTGTAGTGAATTTGGGAAGTTTTTATATCTTCTGTAGAAACTATATTTTAAAATGGTAAAATTAATGGAAGTGATTTGAAAAACTGAATGGTAAAACTTCGTAACTACTAATCTGGTACTCTATAAACTAGCCTTATTATATGTTTTAAAAGATTTTTTATAATGACTGTTTGGTAAGACCTAGAGTGCCTTACTGTTAAATTCTAGAAAGATTTGGTCAACAAACTAAGTTGTACAGAAAAGAGTCCATGGAACCTAAGTATCCTTATAAAATATGGAGGTTAGACCAAGAATCAGCTGTTGGAACCTTAGTTTTGTAATCTTTGTAAAATGTGTACGTTTGACCAAGCACCAGCTGGTTGACAAGATCCCTAAACCCCAAGATGTTATCCTTGTAAAATGGATGTAGACAAGATTTTTGAGAACCTAAGTTGTTATCCTTGATTACCGAAACACCAGCTGATAAAATGAATCCTCCAGAATGGGTGTGTAGACTATGGAATTTAAAAACCCAAGGGTTAAAGAAATAGATCTTTAAGCATTATGATATTATATTTACTCTTGTGTTTATTATAAATTTTATGGAGTTTTAATAAATTATATATCTTTTGAGACAGATGTCTTTTTCTTGACCTGTTAAGAAAAAAAAGAAAATGCTGGTCTTTAATGGAACAAGTAGCACATTGCTTTTCTACCATCTGATGCACAGTCTTTACACGATGCCATTTACTTAGTTATCTTGTATTCATTATATTTACTAAACCAGAGTACTCAAATAACTCTTGGCTATATAATAACTGGGCGAGTCAATATTTTACTTAACCATGTACCTTTATCTTTCAAAAACTAGCGGTTGCTCTACTGGCCACATTATTACAAGGTGCCTGTAAATGTCCCTTACCAAAAATGGTTGCTAGAATACTAAAATAATATTAGTAACCATAATCAAACTTCAAAAATAACAAAATAAGTAAATAAAATTTTTATTTCTAATATATAATCCCACAATGTATAATTCAGAGTCCTAAAAGACAAAATATTCTGTGGTTGAATGAAATATTGCATAGTAAAAATGGACAAAAAAAATTTCAATTTAGAAATTCATTAAAACCCCCAAATATACAAGTTTGTTCTTTATATATTACAAAATTTGTTCAATTTTTTTTGCATCACATAAAATATTGAAATGAAAAAAATTCATAAAATGAAATTCTACATTATTTTTTTTTTTTTTATCACAGTAATATATAGGCATAATAGATGCCAAAAGTTAAACATATTTAAAGTCATTGTTTGCACATTTGATACACTTAATGGCTTCACTCTCTTTGTTTTAAAGATTAAAATGATAATTTGTGCTAGTGAATAGGAAATGAAACTATATAATTTAGAGAAATTGGAGAAAGATTTTCTGCAAGCATGTTTCAGTTAGTTCTATATGAATAAAAGCATGATTGGATTTCTTATAATTAACATAATTTTCAGATGAAATAAACTAAAATAATATATAGATTGCACCATCATTGTAATAATTAAATGAAGTTAAGTTATAATCCTATGCAGTAGAGATGATTAAAGATATATGTACATACAGGGTCAAACACTATATAAATTTAGTCTTCATAGTTTTTCAATGCTGTTTTCATCCTAAATGTGCACAATATCCTTGCTTGACTCAAACTGTTACATGGCTTATTGTCTGAGCACATCAAAAATTTTCTCGAATTTTTTCAATATTTTTCAAGAGAATCAGAATATCAGTCTCAAAATAGTACTAATAGTCTTAGAATGTCTTTGCATTAATAAAAATGTAATTTTTTGTAAGTTTACATTGAAAAGAAACACATTTCCTTCCTAGAAATTTCAACCTGAAAAAGTGACAAAATTTAGGCTGTTAATTTTCTTCTGCAAAAACAAATTTTGAAGACATAATTGCAAAGACATTTTGAGACTATCAGTACTGTTTTGAGGCCAATATCTAATTCTCATAAAAATAATAGTAAAAATTTAAAAAACTTTGCTCAGAGTGACAGTGACAGTGCTTATAAATCAACATTTAGCACTCTGGTAGAAAACACACATGACTATGCCCAATGACAAAAACTACAAGGAAAGGTTTGTTAGTTAAGACAAAACAAAATAATGTTAGTTTTATATATGAAAAACCCACAAAAGGTAAAAAATGAAAATGGCTACATGTAAAAAATGATATTAGTACCCTGGTATACATGAAATGAAGACCTAAATAATAAATAAAACACAGGAATAAAATAACATTAACTTCCAGTGTACAGAATGAAAATTTCGTACTGTGACAAATTTTGCTAAAATGAATAAATTTTTGTCTTGACAAAGTATAAACTTGAATAAGATGTGCTTTGTTTCTTTTTCAAACTAAAATTGTCAGAATTGTATTCGAAGTATAAAAAGTGAAAATTAATGACATTGGTAGTCTAAAATACAGAGAAAAAATAAAATAGATTCTGGCAATATGAATTGAGAAATGGAATAAAAATTTGACTATGAAAATAATTTACATAATATGTTGTAAAAGCACAAGTTATGAAATTAATTGAAATTGGATGAATGAAAATGCAAAGCAAAAAGCAAGCTACCATACCCATAAATATATTGTTTTGAAACCTTTACCAATACTTTAGTGGCCATGTTGATGGCTTCAACCAATAAATATACTACTAATAGTTTAGCAAAGTGGCAGCAGGGGTTTTAGACAGACTAATTAATATTTTTCAGGATTTCAATTCTACCAGCATCTGATTGTGAATTAGCCCCTAACTTTTCCATGTGTTCATATACTAATTTAGCAAGCTGTCCACGATTGGCTAATCCTAACGACCTTCGGGTCAAACAGCGTTGAAATTTTTTTGATGGAGCAGATGAAGGACAAGAGAAACTCTTGTATCTATGTTTAAAGGCAGGTTCGATGGCTCGGAAAACATGAAGTTTTTGAGTTTTGATAAACATATCGTAAATGTCGTATTCTTGCGCTTCCTCTGCTGTAATTTGTTTACGCATTTCGTTAAAATCAGAAACATAGAAACTACTATGTTCGTAAGAATTTGGGTCATAGTGTCCTGTTCGGCTATTAATATCAATGGTATTAGGGTAAGGCTTTTTATCGTAAATCAAATTTGGTTTGTATTGCCAAAATCCAATGGGAAAAAATACTTGCCAACCTTCAATTGTATTCATACGCACTCGGTTAAAGTAGTCTGAAGCCAGTTCCATACCTACACTACACAATAGCATGAGTGAACTGGTAGAAAATCGACCAATGACTTCGTCCATGACAAAAAGATCTGATATGTATGCCTCTTGATGTAGCAGGCTTACCCAGGAGATTTTTCCGCCATTGTGGTATTTCTTTTCATAATATGCTACTAAACTTTTTAATACGTTGTAAATGTCATCTGGTCCATCCTGGACTTGATGTTTATAAATAAACACAATTAATAAATAAGTATCTTCACCTGAATCCAAACAAGTTTTAGCGTAAGCATCTAGAAAATTTGCAACACCATCTATTTCATCTTCTGTTACTGGCAACACCATGTTGACGCGGGTATTTTCAGTGACGTATGGCATCGGAACGATTTCTACACGACCTAAAGGTCGTACCAGATGAACTCTCTTCTCTACCTCAGTATTTTGATGGGATATATCCCGTAGTATCAAATCCATGGTGTACTCCATTCCTCGTTGAGGGTCAAACCGACGATATCCATTCAATAATTTAGAATATAGATAGATGTTTCCGTATTTTTGGTTCAGACGATCTACTGAGATCTTTATCACATCTTGAACATCTAGTTTATCTTCTCCTACAATAGAACACAATATGTCCAATAATCTGGACTTTTGGGGTTTTTCGATTTCGATTCAGACATTCGATCCCAGCATAGGTTGAGCTGGTACCTTTCCTTAATTGCACATCGCATAGCAATGAAAAAACTTAGCTCATTCATATGCAGAAAGTAGGACATGAATTCCATTCATTTCATTTTTCAATTCCAAAGTTCTTACCTTTCAGTTCAACCAGATTTGTAAAGTCATCTTTAAAATAAATATGTGTCTCAGTGAAATAGTCCCAGCGGATGACGTCAAATCTACTTTTAGGTTTATATGGCTCAGGTACACCTGAAATAAAATTAAAAAGTTTAACCACTAGTTATCATGAAATATGAAATGCCCGATATTCCTTCCCCAAATAACTAGTACCATGTAGAGAGTTTAGGGCAGGCAATATAGGTTCAAGTGGATATCACAATATTTAGCATTAATATACAGTATAGGTGTATAAATAGAGATATTTTCTAAGAATGGCTTTTACTGGTTTTTAAAATACAATATTGTTTCGTTCAATCAAAAACATTTAATGTAAAAGGAAACCACAAATGTCTATCAAAAAACAACCCAGCCATTAATACCATGAAAAAAAACCATGTTTCAAATATTACGTTATTTGTTAAAATTGTAGATTATCTGATAATTACTGTATATTGAAATATGATATTTTAGATATTTAAATGAGGTGAAATTATTGATATGAATTGCTAAACCACTATTTATCATGATACTGGTATATCACTTAGCCCTATCAGATAAACTAGTCCACTATTCTATCTAGCTCTAGTTTACCCTAAGAGAGTGAATTAACTTTTACTCTTACCTATAGGCCAACTAACACTTTCTCGACCACCAGGGGCAAACTGACTCATATACATAATATTATCCTTGGTCTTCTCAATTTCCTGTCTAGTTTGATTTAGTTCATACTGGCAATAATATCTACAATTATAAACAGATCAATTTATAACATACTTATTAGAACTTGAGTATTGTTCAGTTTAATATTCAAACACAGTCCAATACCTTGATTCTTCTATAGCTACGATACAGAGTTGACTTTCTCAATCACAGAGTAGGATAGCATACCTGTGAAGTTTGTAATGGTTGATGTCATCTGGCATGGGAAAAACTGTAATAGAATTGTTGAATTCTTCTTTAATTTTCAACTTGGCGATTTCATCATCAAAATCAAAATCTGTCACTTTATGAGTTGTATAAACTTTATTCTGAAATGATAAAAAACATATAATTTTATCCATTTTCACATTGTTGTGCATAATATTACCTTTCATTCTAAACCTTATAAAGTCCATGAATTTCCCTTTCTCATTGGCCTATTCACAACTTTCCCAATTTCACATATTATTTGGCTGTTGAAGTTGAATCTCCATTTCTGTCTTATACATGGTTAGAAATACAGAATAGGAGATAAGAAATGGTAAACCATTATCGTATTTTATACGTACCCCAGTATGATCTTGACAACTAAGTTCAGTAGAATGTTGAATACATTTGCCCAGATTTAAGCTAGGATCTGATGAGTGACAATTAGTGTTACACCAATCTAATTCATTTAATATCCTTGACAATATAGACTGAAATATATAATTCATTTAAATTATTCAATTGAATTGAATTGAATTAAATAAATTATTCAAAACTACTACTATAAAAGTTATGCTTGTGATCTGCAGCATATTCATATTCAGTTTGTTATAATTATCATCACAGCCAGGTTGTTAATTCCCTTTTAATCAATTAAATCAAAATCAAATTTTGGATTGATAGGCTGTGAGTTTGAATAATGGAAAGTTAATCCCCATTTCCAAACTAGCTGTCCTGATTAGGATTTTATATCTGAAACATGGGTTCAGCATATGATGATATAAACTACATTAACATACCTGAGAGAGTAGGACACCTCCTTCAAGAGGGCAGTAGTTACCACTAGCTCCATTTAAAGCTTGAGGGAATCCCATATAAACATGTTGACTCACACTAATATGGTTGATGAGATCTGCCAACTTTTCTCCACGGATGTATGCACGGTCAGACACAAATAGATAATAATCATAGGTCTCTGGATAATGTTCAGAAACATACTTCAATACATGGATAGGCACAAGATGTGGATATTTGTCAGAAAAACTCACAACGGACATCCCTGGAGGTAGGGTCTGACCTTTTTCTTCCATAAAAAATACAATTTTTGTTGCATGTTGATGGACGGTTTTGTTAATAGCCACTCCCAGAGTGTCAATAGTATTTTTTGACGTTATCACACCAATGAATAAACGTTCTCTGATACCTAACTCAGTAGAAGCATACCTTGGACGTATTAATTTTTTCACAGGTCCACCTTTTGGCTCAATGTGATTATTTTGAGTTCTGATTCTTGGTTCGAATTTTTCTTCATGATTTAGAGATTTCGTTTCGCGAATGTTTATCATTTCTTGTGGGTCCTGTCTAGCGACAAATGTCTCACAACTGTCTTCGCTGAATGGAACATACATCATACTCATAGCGATACCTAAACTGACTCCAATAATAGCGGGAAGAAGCAGACGGCAACATTTCGGGTCAATGATAACGTTTATGGTGTTGTAACACTGAAGAAGGGTTATATTGTGACGACCCATCTTTAAAATCTTTTAAAAACTTTTAAGAATCTCAATTCATAGGTGGTCATAAATAATATTCCAAATTCCAATTAGTCGACTCTATGAAATTGATACCATTGATTTCAAACTAGGTAGAAACAATCTGAAAAAAACATTTATTTAATTAAGTACACTTTTCATTATGATTCAAAAATTTGTGAAATAGTGGAATAGTGGATAGTATGGTCTCTAAAAAATCAAAGAATGTACATAATTATTTTAAACCTTAAAAGGATTATTAAGAGGTTTTCTACATTTTCTATGTGAATTGGGGACACTGATATCAATTTGCACCATTATAATTTTCAATCAGATGTCTGTTTTTCCTGCGATTCCACTAAACATAAGTGTTTGATGACATCAAGATCACTAATCGCAATATATCCTTTTAATTTGTTACACAAGACCCTTGGCATTATATGATTACAATCTATTTAAATACATTTAGTTGACTAAAACAATGTCTGAAATAGATATAATTAACTGAATATTTTTATCTGTATGGTAATTGAAACGTTATTTTCTATTTGAACCACGAACTGTACAAAAAGAACTGGTATAACAAGACTAAAGCGTGGTTGAAATTCTCATCACTGTTGTATGCAGTATGGATATTATAAAATACCCGCAGAATAGATTTAGTCACACTCTAGTTTTGATCAAGTTGGGACACACTCCACTTGATGTAGCTAAAAGCACTCCATTTTTCAAACTGTAAAACATTGTCATTCGTATCAATAAATTTATCAAATAATTTTCGAACTTATGTAAAAGCATACAACCAATATCTTATTAATTCAAAGTTAAAAACTGTGACATGTACACCATCTCTAGTCAATAATACACTTTATAATATGAGAACAGCGTATTGTATTTTTATCTCACAGAAGATTGCCATAAAAGCCTAAAATTTTTATTAGAGAATTGTTTGGCTGTGGAAAAAATCACATTTATATCAAGAGAGCCAAAAATACCTGTGCGTTCCCTGAAATTTAGTTTACTGCTGCCCAAAATATGATCATAATCAAACTCCTTGTCTGCATAAAACATCTTTTACGACTTTTAAATTCAAAGTAGCCTAAGGACCATCTAGCCAAGGACAAGCTTGTAACTCTTTTACAAGCTTTCACTATCAAATGTTAATTCTTTCACAAATAATGTTGTAAAATTGATGATAGTAATAGTAAAAAGATAGTGATACCCAAATAACTCAGAGGAAGTAGAAATCAAATGAAATCTAGGCTACTTACACTTACTGGTCTTTTACTAACCTATACCTATATTAAGAACACAAGATATATGGAAATACAACCTATTAAGTTTATTACATACTACGTTTTGATTTTGAAACACATACATGTAACGTTATCAAGTAACATTTTACCTTCCTACTTTTATGTCATACAAAGATTATACTAATAGTTTTAAATAGTTATATAGCTAATGTAATGAATATCAAATTCAGTTAAATTATACCAAAAGTGTAAGTGACCATGATTAAGTAGAATGAAGGGTGTTAGGGTGTATGTGACCAACATTTACGTAATACGATAATCTGTGTTATTAATTTGGGTAGGGCTGGTTTTGTTTTAACAAGGCTAACTGCTTAGACTTAAGGTCAAGTGCTTAGCTGATTGGCAGTAATTTACTGTTTAACATTTATTTCCTTTCCCATATTTTTAAGTGATAACTAGATATTAACTTTGGGAAAGAAATATTTCGATAAAATACCTCTTTTCTGCCATTTTGGTGACATTTTGTCCAAACAATGTATTGAACAATGTCTTGCTGGATATGGCCTAATTCTTTTATTTATTTTTCTTAGAATCAAGCTGCATTCGATCAAGTACTTAGCCACGAATTTTCATTTTCTTTATCGTACGTCGACAAAAATTTGCAAATCTTTTTTAATTTTGTAAAGATTGTACTTAATTTAAGAACTTATTTTAATGGAGAGTCATCGATAGCTGACAATTATTCAACTGGATCATACAGTTCTATGACTGGATGGAGAGAGATGTAGTTGAAATAATTTATAACTCCATGAAGAGTACCCATCACGAACGCAGCCTACAGGAAAACGCGAGATATCACGTTATTTAAATTCAAGATGGCAGAACAGGTAAATCTGAAAAGTCACTCTTCTCATTTTATCAGTTTTGTTAAATAAAATCTTTTAATAAGCTTTCTCTTGATTGACGAGTCGTCTATTAGCATTTCCAATAATCCTTAAAGAGTTTGGCATTGCTATTCTGTGTAGATCTAGTCTCTTTGTTATCACCATGAGCCAAATAATCAAATTCATTCGTTCCTAAATTCCTAATAAAATCTACTTATGAACGATAATGAATGAACTTGCGATTCTACCCACTCCCCCCAAACTCACCCTAATCCTAACCCTAACCCTTTTTCAGTTATCAGTCAAATGATGGTGTCAAAATAGTGGGTAGCTCACTGTTGAAACATATTAGGCTCAGTAGTACAGTCAAGTAACCTAATTTCGTGGAAACCTATTATTCGTGGATTTCCGGAAACGATTGATAATTTACATGAGTGACCTTGCGCGACCTCTGCATTAGTTTGTTTTGATAAACATGGGTTTTCCCTACAATATCAGCTAGTAGAATAAATCCAGTAGTTTCAATCAAGGTAAAATGTATTAATGTATACTTTGACAAATACACAATGGCGGATTTCAGTTATTACCAAACGTCTAAATTTTTTATCGGCCAAATTTCATTATAATCCTACGCTGTAATCGGAATTCCAAGTGTCATCTGCTAGAATGTAGTCCAACAAATGAAGTCACGTGATCAACTAGTGGATTCCGTGTCAGCAGAAAATTTCAATGGAACACAAAGTGGACCATATTCTTATGTTGTTTCAGTGACTTTTAGCAATAAATCACGCTACATATCTTATTTTGTCAGTCACTATTTTTTTTTAAAATCGTGGTTCTTTGAAGGATTTGTCACTAGTTATAATGAATTGATATTGAAGATAAATACTAAGAGAAGTTAATTATACCACCCGGTATCTATACAACGTGTTTTTCTAGACTTATTTATAGATCAAACATTGTAAACGAAAATAGGTGACACATTCTGTCGCCGTTGCCAAGTTGGTTTGTCATGAAATATGGGTCAAAGTGAAGGATTCATTAAGAAAATCGAAATAAACTAATTTTAATTATTTTGTAGAATATCTGAGGAAAAATCTAAGACATAAAAAACACTTTTTTCATTTTTTTAACTTTGACGAAATTTGAAGTTGAATCCTTATATCCACGAAAATAGGTTACACCACTGTATAAAAGCAAAATGTACGGGCATTCAAAGACAAATAAAATACTTAAACTTACCTTTGTGAAGTCCATAAGTACTGGACATTATGTGAGCCAGACATATCTTTTATCTTTAAATACATAAATACATTATTTTAAATCTGAACTGAAGTTACTGAAGACTATCTTTGTAGTAAATTTTTAGTTATGACATAGATATTTATTCACTGTTCCAGGATAGGAAAATGGAGGTAGATGAAAGTAACCATGAAGGAATTAAACAATATTATGTCAGTAAAATAGAAGAACAACAACTTATAGTCACAGAAAAAACACAGAATTTACGCCGTTTAGAAGCTCAGCGAAATGAATTAAATGCCAAAGGTACGTTATATTATAGTCTTTTTACAGTTGCATTAATTGGACCTAATGAGATATCTTTTCCCATCAAAATGTTTACATACGTTAAACATTTTTTAAGTTGAACATTGATAGGAAAGTTAATTTTGAAAATTGCATAGCTTACCATATTTCATAGTATTTTTTCAGATTATTAAGACCAGGTACAATTTTATGGTACTTGAATACTTTTGTTGAAATTATTAACAAACAAAAAAACTACTAATTAAAAGATTATGCTCATGTACTAAATGTTGCTTGCAATACCACATTTTTAAACCAAATTGGAGATATATTTTGACTTTATATTTCAGTACGCATGTTACGCGAAGAACTTCAGCTACTACAGGAACAAGGCTCCTATGTTGGAGAGGTCGTAAAGCCCATGGATAAAAAGAAAGTGCTTGTTAAGGTTTGTACAAGTAACATCTTCTTGTTACTTGGCTAACATAAATAATTTCATTGTTATTCGTTAAAAAGATGTTTTAAATGCTAACTAAGTGGGGCGTGCTTACACTTTTATACCACTTGATGCAACTAAATATGTTAATTTCACTTTAAAGTTAGCTAAGTTTTTTTTTTGATTAGTAGTTGTGTTGGTTACTTGGCAGTCATAATGTTATAACACCATTTTTTTTTCCAATTCCAGGTTCATCCAGAAGGAAAGTTTGTAGTTGATATAGATAAGAATATAGATATAAATTCTGTGACACCTAATTGTCGAGTAGCTCTACGCAATGATAGTTATGTTTTACACAAAATATTACCTAATAAAGTAAGTAGACAAACTTCACCTTGATCACATTGTGACCTTGACAAATTCACCAGTTCTAAATGTGCATTAGCCACCGTATAGAAGAGTAACTTGATCTTAAAATACATTAACAATTCAACTTTTCCACTATTTGGGTGGCAACAAACTAATTAAGAAAAATTGTTGAGAACAAATTGACTGCATGGTGAAAAGAAAGAAAAAAAGAGTCATGTTTGACAAAAATACTGCTTTCAGATTTTGCTTCAATTTGTTGTCTAATGAATTACATAGTGTCAGTAGCCTTTTAGGATCTCCATTCATTTTTAAATCTATCTAAAACCTCATTTATAAAATATTGAACTGTAGGTGGACCCTCTAGTTAGTTTAATGATGGTGGAAAAGGTCCCTGATTCTACATATGAAATGGTGGGAGGTCTAGACAAACAAATTAAAGAAATTAAAGAAGTTATTGAATTGCCAGTCAAACATCCAGAGTTATTCGAAGCTCTAGGTATTGCACAACCTAAGGTAAGATATCTTGATCGGAGGGATTATTTTGAATATGTCTCGGAGATGTCTAAAGTTCTCTGAAACTAGCTGTCTTGATGAGGATTTTAAATCCCAAACACATGTTTTCAGGATGATGAGAAACATGTCCTTATAACTTTAAACTGATAAAATCAAATGGTATTTGCAATGGTATTTCATAATCTGGTCAAGACCAGAGAACTTCTTTCAAATTAATTGAATAATCTTGTGAACATTTTTAGGGTGTGCTACTCTATGGACCACCTGGTACTGGTAAAACTCTGCTAGCTCGTGCTGTAGCTCACCATACAGAATGTACCTTTATCAGAGTTTCTGGTTCAGAATTGGTACAGAAATTTATTGGTGAAGGTTCGAGAATGGTTAGAGAACTCTTTGTAATGGCCAGGTAACTTCAATTTTAATTTGATTCACTTTAAGTATTTGTTGTCTGTTTTCTCTTTGATATGTTTCTTTAACTTTTAGAACTGCATTTTATGTGACTTTTTTTGACATCCCTATATTTCTTTATGTCTTTAACAGAAGTCAGTTTAGATGGGCTAATCTTTACATAAACTAATACATTTGATTCTAAAATGATGAATTTCATGATTTTATTATATATGATGTCTTCTACAAAATTAATATTTCTTTATATTCCAGAGAACACGCCCCCTCTATTATATTTATGGATGAAATTGATTCTATTGGATCATCACGATTAGAAAGTGGGTCTGGAGGTAAACTATATTTAATATAGATGGTGTGCTTGAATAATCTGAGCAATTTTTCCATTGTTATGATACATTTTTGCAGTCTATAAAGTTGTTACTCATCTCAAAATACAAATCTAACTTTTGTTTTGGCTACAATCAAATAAAATTGTGGTAGTTGAAGTATAAAGTGGCCATCAAATTTAGACTGTAGTCACTTCTACTGATGCATTTTCATTAAATTGTAGATAAACCTAACACTCTGTGACCTAGGCTAGTGCTTTCAATGAGAATCATCTCAATACACACTAACACAAGGCCTTCATTCTGAATAGCTATCTAAATAGCTAATGGAAAGATATCTTGATATGTTGGTACTTTATTTACAGGTGATAGTGAGGTACAAAGAACTATGTTAGAATTATTAAATCAATTGGATGGATTTGAACCCAAACAGAATATCAAGGTAAGACATCAGCTTTGTTTTTTTCAAGCGTTAAGATTGGAAATAAACGGAGGTCCTTTGTGCTAAAGGCTGTGCAGATGAAAGATCTCTCGACGGACATTGGAAAACATTAAAGAGTAGGCTAATACTACTGTCTTGGCAAAATTTCCCTCATCGGCACCAAATGGCATCTTCATGCAATTGTTCAAAAAGTAGGACATAGAACTCATTTCATTTCATTTTGACCAATATGATGACACATCAAAATAAAAACAAATGGCCGATACAAGTAGAAATGTCATAAAAGCTAACATGTCAACAGTACTTTTTGATCTTTATCAGACGTGACTGGCAAAACACAGTAATATCAATAGCCATGAAATATATTTGGTTTATAAAATGAATGTAGATATTAAAATGGATTGATATTTTTCATTTTTCAGGTTATCATGGCAACCAATCGTATTGATATTTTAGATTCTGCTCTACTCCGTCCAGGACGTATAGATAGAAAAATAGAATTCCCTCCCCCTAATGAGGAGGCTCGACAAGACATCCTGAAAATCCATTCTAGAAAAATGAATTTAACACGAGGTATAAATCTACGTAAAATTGCAGAAATGATGCCAGGTGCTTCTGGTGCCGAGGTGAAGGTAAGAAATTTCATGCAGAAATTTTAGGTAGCGTTTCTTTTGTACTGTTAAGATTATTATTTCTTCAACATGTATGTAAGTATTATAATAATGAGCTAATATATATTCATGATGTCACTTGATTTTCAAACCAAACTATGTTTCAACATAGTCATTATTATGTTTTGTTTTGTGAATAGGAACACACATACACACACACACCCTACCTCATTATAATCTTGAACATTTGATAAGTATTCATTTTTAATTCATATTTTCAACAACAAAATTTTCACACTTGACACATCTGGTGGCTGATGGTAATGTGGAGGGTAATCAGAACTCCTGATTTTAAATGGTAATTGTTCTTGCAGGGAGTATGTACAGAAGCTGGAATGTACGCTTTACGAGAACGAAGAGTTCATGTTACACAGGAAGATTTCGAATTAGCTGTTGCCAAGGTAGGTTTAAAGGTGATGGACTAGTAAAGTTCATACTCTCAGTCTGTTTAGAATATATGATCCTTATCAGGTCGACTGATTTGAAACTTCAAATATTGAAGCGATAATTATGTCCACATGATTTCATGATTTGGTAACACAACCCTTATCTGAACACTTACTGAACAATTTTTTCATGAAAACATCTTCTCCATCAACTTATCAATATATCTGATGCAGAAAAGTACATATTACTTTCATTTCAGCCCTGAATATTAAACTTATTTTCATTTAATATTTGTTTTTTATAGATTATGTTGAAAGACTCTGAGAAGAATATGTCCATCAAGAAACAGTGGAAATAATGGAAAGAGAAGATATTATGATTATTGTGTATATTTATTACATCAACAACTGTTCTCATTGTCACTTCATAGACATACTTTTACACCAAAACTAACACTGGAATTGTTAAGTGTTATTGTTAGCTGAAGTAGCAAAATATTCTCAAATTTGAACGTATCCCAGAAAAAGACCCATAAATTTTGACAATACGTTAGAATATATGGTTTGCCACAATCTTTAAATTATTTGTTAATAATCAAGCAACTTCATGATCCTCATGAACAACTCTGTGCATACACATTGAATTTTTTTCTAGTAATAGTTTTGGTTTGAAAGTTAAAGTTTCATGTTTGCCATTTATAAAAGTCAATGTATGTTTTTGTCACTAAAGCATTTTTCATCTGATGACTGCATTTCCATTCTGTTGATTATGAATCTGATGAAAACCGAGTGAAGTTTGATAGATGGATGTAAAAAGGAAAATAAAATTGAATAATTGTTTTCAGATATTGTATGTCAATTTTAGAGTGGTATCAGGGTTATTAAGGTTTTGTTATATAATATAACCAACACTGGGTTTTAATCTCCCACATCCTGTCAATCTGTCTGTCATTATTTCTAGTTGGTATTTCAGGACCTACATTGGTCTTATACTTAAGCTTAGAGTTGAATTGAAAATGTAGAATAATGAGATGTCAAAGTGTCTTGAGTTAAATCCTGTTCAGAGTGTGACCACAATTTACTAGTCATCTAAATTGTAGACCCTTTGAATTATTTGTAGTCTGGCTTGGTTGTAGTCTACATCGGGACCATTGACGAGTTGTTTGCATTCCCTCTGTTAAAAAAAACTTCTTGTGCTCACATAGTCTATTGGAGAAATTAGTTGTTGTCTGAAATGACCAAATGTAGTAGTCTCCCTTTTACCGTTTTTTTGTTAACACAACTCCAAACGACGTCTGCACTTTGTTTAGTAATTTTTCTCTGAAGCAGTTACAGAAAAGATGTTTTTGCTGTCAAAGAAACAAACAGAAATTATTCACAGATAAGTAAGTTGGTATATTTATTTTTCTGCTTTTCAACAAAAATCTTGCCAGCCACAATCAATGAAGCAAATGCAAAATGGTGAGGGTGCAAACATAAACTTAAAAATAAAAATATAATTCATACTTTTTCTATTGATCATAAATAAGCTTGACATTTGAACACTGAAATGTTAAGTCAAATATAATTCAACAATAAAAACATAATAAGGTGCTTCAAAAAACAGATTATCGCCTGCCAGTGATAAATTATTATCACCATTTTTGATGAGATTGGAATATTGATAATAAAATGTTATGAATTTATCTGAATTTCAAAATCCAAATTCTCTGTATGTCCATTATCAATGCTGTTATCATCAGCATAATTTTCAGCATCATCAATGCCATCAACATTTTTATTCTTGGTATTATCATAAGCAATAGAAATCTTGGCATCATTATCAGCTCCATTTTCAATATCATTATCAGCAGTAGAAATCATGACATCAGTATTCACTTCATTTTTGGTATCATCATCATTATCATCTGAATATAAATAATCAGCCATACTTGAGAGTTTTAAAGACTTCCTTCTAGATGATCTGCGAGTTGGTTCCACAGGAGTGGCTGAACGTTTCTTAGAATTGGAACTCGTTTCAGATTCAGACATTTCTGTTTCATTTTTAGCTTTTTTGATTTCTTCATTGATTTTGATGTTGCTTTTCACAGACTCCATTTTGTGTACAGAAGTTATGTGCCTCTTTATGTGACTAGTATTACTAAATGATTTATCACAAATGCCACATTTATATGGTTTATCACCAGAATGTATTTTCACATGCCTGTTGAAGTCTCCTCGAGTTTTGCAACCATGTTTGCAGATGTCACAATTAAAAGGACGTTCTTCATTGTGGGTAATGACATGGCGCTTTAAACTGGAAACATGAACAAAACTCTTCCCACAAACATCACATTTGTTATTTTTTTCTCCGAAATGAACACGTTTGTGCGACCATAATTGACTGCTTTGAATAAAGGTAGCATCACATACGTCACATTTATAATTTTTCTCACCTGTATGCCATTTCAAATGGGCATTAACTGCACTTTGAACAGTAAATGATTTATCACAATAGTTACATTTGTAAGGTTTCTCGCCACTATGTGTTCGCAGATGTAAATCTAGTCCTTCAATACGAGCGAAAGATTTTGGGCATTCTGAACATTTAAAAGGCTTCTCACCAGTATGTGTAGTCATATGTTTCACCAGGGCATAAGATAAGAAAAAGGATTTTCCACAAACATCACAACTGTAGGCTTTATGTTTTTCATGTACTCGCTTTTTGTGAGTCTGTAATCGACTCATACTTGTAAAACATTCTTCACAATCATCACATTTATATGGTTTCTCTCCTGTATGGGAACGTATATGAATTGCCAAATGGTTATTACTATTAAAAGCTTTGTCACAAAGTCTACATTTGTATGGTAGATCGCCTACGTGGAGACGAACATGAACTTTCAATTGACCTAGGCGAGTAAATTTTTTATCACAAACGTTGCACTCTAGCTTGCCCTCTTGTTCATGCTGTGGAATATGAGATTTGAGATTTTGAACGTTACTAAACGTCCTAGAACAAAACTCACATTTGAATGTCTCGTGCCTCTGAGTTCTTCTATGCTTGTCAAGTTCAGCCTTACTTAAAAATTGCATCTGACAATTATTACAGACATAAGGCAAATTACCAGAATGGGTCATCAGGTGTATCTGAAATTCTCTTTCATCTGCTATCATGTCATAACAAAACATACATTTTATTCCAGAGGGTTTATCTGGGCGTTCTTCATGAGATTTCACATGTTCTGTTAACAGTTTGCCTTCATTAAAAATCTGCCAACAAACACCGCAACGGAATGGGTTTTCTAGCATCTCTGGTGTAGCCTTAGGAGCCATCTTTTTCCTCAGACTTCCAATTGTTTCTGCTCGGGAATAGCCTTTTCCAGTGTTTACCTTAGAAGTGTCTGTTTTTTGCTCTGGACTGATTTTTGGGAGGGGAAAAACTTTAGCCAAAGTTTCCACATAATTTTTGTCGCCATTGATATTAATTTCGTGTGGATCTTTGTGATGATGAACTTGCTTGACATCAAAGTTGCCATTGCTTTCACATTTCCCTATGGTGACTTCCTTAGGTTCTTCTTTAATGATTTGAGTTGCTACAGCTGTTCCAATTATGACAGAAACTTGGTCTGGAGAGCTTTTAAAACTGTTCTCACCATTCCTATTTAGTTCCGTACTTTGAATAGCATCTAGAAGAAAAAAGACAAATTTAACTTGACACAGGACATTTAATATTTAATCAAACATAATTAATTAACAAGTTTTCATCATCAAGCTTATCTTGCAGTCCTAGTTCTGGTAAACAAAATTTGGTACTAGGGTGGGCGTAAACTGAAACTCCACATTGTTGAAGAAAATGGGTATATGATCCTCATGACAGACACCGATTCCCAAACACACAAATCAAAATCTATGCAATAAAACTGATTTTTTAATTAAATACAAAACCAATGATTTACTGTTGTTCAATCTTATCGTAGGAATGTTTGGACTAACCTAAACTTGAACAGTGTATTTTGGAATGAATCTCAAGACCAGAATAAGTTGGGAATCTTTCATCACAAATTCTACATTCGTGATAAACATCTTCTTGTTTGATTTCGAATTCTAATTCCATTTTTATTTTCCTTTCTTCATTATGGAGAGACCTTGACATTGATTAGATGTGACTATTAACTCAAATAAACTCAAAAAATTTAAAATGTACCTAAATTTGTCAATATATAACCTTTAGTTTGACTCGAAATTCTCATCATTAGAATTATATTCAGGAATTCTAGTACATGTTATTTCAAAGACAGATTTTTGTATGTTAAAAGGCCTAATATATTAATTTGAGTGGAATCCAGATTAGTCGCACCTGCTTCAAGGTGAAGGCCCTGTCAACAAGGGCAGATAATTGGAGGTCATTTAAACAAACATGGCTTCCCTCCTGGCATTATCCTTACCGGCAAGGTGTTCTTCTTTGCGAACTGGTCGCAGTTGGAAGATTTTAACAGATTCGTTGCCCATTACCAGAAGTTTTTATACTACAGCACATGTTGCCAGCAAAGATTTGTATTGGAACGATCGTTTCAATGAAGGGGAGCAACAATTTGAAAAAATTCTGATTGCAAATCGAGGTGAAATTGCTTGTCGTGTTATCAAAACCTGCCAGCGGTTAGGAATTAAAACTGTAGCAGTGCACAGCGATGTTGATTCCCTGTCAGTACATGCTAGAATGGCAGATGAAAGAATCTGTATTGGTCCAGCACCTACTAGTCAGAGCTATCTGCAAATGGAAAAGATTTTAGATGCTGTGAAGCAGACAGGATCTCAAGCTGTACATCCAGGGTATGGATTTTTGTCTGAAAATACCAAGTTTGCTGGTGAGCTGGAAAAGATGGGGGTTCAGTTTATTGGGCCTAACAGTAAAAGTATTTATGACATGGGTGATAAGATAGAGAGTAAACGAATTGCAACCAAAGCAGGCGTGAACATGATCCCAGGGTTTGATGGTGTCGTTCAAGATGGTGACCATTGTGTGAAGCTAGCCAATGAAATTGGTTATCCGGTAATGATCAAAGCCTCTGCCGGTGGAGGAGGAAAGGGAATGAGGATTGCATGGAATGACAAAGAAGCCAAACAAGCTTTCAGATTATCTTCTCAAGAAGCAAAGTCAAGTTTTGGTGATGATCGAATGCTAATTGAGAAATTTATCGACAATCCACGACATATTGAAGTTCAAGTTCTCTGTGACAAGCATGGTAATGCCCTGTGGTTAAACGAACGAGAATGTTCGATCCAGAGACGAAATCAGAAAGTTATAGAAGAAGCTCCAAGCACCTTTGTTGATCCTGAAATGAGAAAAGCAATGGGTGATCAGGCTTGTATGATGGCGAAGGCTGTAGGGTATGATTCTGCAGGAACTGTGGAGTTTCTTGTGGATTCCAAGAAAAATTTCTTCTTTTTGGAGATGAACACTAGATTGCAGGTTGAACATCCAATTACAGAATGTATCACTGGAATCGACATTGTGCATCAAATGATACGATCAGCGAAAGGACATAAACTTTTACATGAACAAAAAGACATCCCTGTTGATGGCTGGGCATTGGAGTGTCGTGTCTATGCAGAAGATCCTTACAAAAATTTTGGCATGCCTTCAATTGGGCGTCTATCTCGATATCAAGAACCGTTGCATCTGGAGAATGTTCGATGTGACAGTGGCATTCAGGAGGGAAGTGAAATCAGCATTTACTATGATCCTATGATTTGTAAACTTGTAACTTATGGAAAAAACAGAACGGATGCATTAGAGACAATGAAACATGCATTGGATTCGTATGTTATAAGAGGGGTAACCCATAATATTCCTTTATTGCGAGATATCATCACAGAATCTAAATTCGTATCTGGTGACATCACAACCAAGTATCTTCAGGAAGTTTATCCAGATGGATTCCAAGGCAAGAAATTGTCAGAAAAGGAAACAAATGAACTAGTGGCATTATCAAGTGCTCTCTATGTCTCTGATGAGCTACGTAGTAACGATTTTGAAAATGGTACTAAGAATATGGATATGCCAGCAAAATTTGAATTGGTGGTGAAAGCTATGAATAATATCTACAACACCACAGTAGAAAAAGTTGCTGAGGGTTTCCGAGTTCATCTTAATGGTGACACATTGGATATTAATGGACAAATTCAATTTCATTCTCAATTAATAAATACAACCTTAAATGGTGTTGACAGTCAATTTCAACTGAGCAAACGACAAGGGGCTGGTAGTTATAGTTTACGATTCCTTGGTACTGTTTTTCCAGTCCAAGTTCTGACCACTTTCGCAGCTGAAATGATGAAATTGATGCCAGAAAAGAAGGAAATTGACATCAGCACTATGATTTTGGCACCTATGCCTGGAATGCTTAAGTCTGTAAATGTAGAACCTGGACAGAAAGTGGGAGAAGGCCAAGAAGTTTGTGTCCTGGAAGCCATGAAGATGCAGAACAGTCTTGTCGCAGGCAAAAGTGGTGTCGTAAAGAAGGTAAATTTTAAAACTGGGGAAACTGTCAGTGAAGATGATGTTATAGTGGAATTAGAGTAAGAGTTTAACTTAGCAAATTTTTATACAATACAATCAGGAAACTTTTTTCTAGGCATTAATTTGTGTTCTTATCCTTTTCACTGATCTGATTCAATTTTTGTTTCTGTTATATTTTAACATATTACATTTAGTTGTAATTTAGACATGGTCTGCATAAATTAAGAATACGATTATGATTATTTATGTGCATATGAATAGGTTATAAGAATCTGTTATGTTCTATTATAGACTAATATGTTGTATATGTGCATATTAATTATGTATGGAATCAATTACAAAGTTCCAATAAATTCTCATTTGTCCAGATGTTAAATAATCTTATGATAAATAATTCTGCTGTATATAGAAATGTTTGATATAATGTATGTACATATTAATAATGTAATGGAGTTTTCTATCATGTGCTCATGTTTAATTTTACAGAAGAATTTTCTTTGCCTATGTAAGATAAATGAGATTATAATTATGTGCATTTCACTGTATTTGTGTCGAATATCTAAACATTAATATTCAGAATTTACTATTTTCATAGTGAAACTGAAAAAATTGGTGCATTTTTTTGTTGTTTTTCATTACACTATAGATTATTTGTTATGTTTTGTTATCTGCTATACCGGTACTAAGTATTGTTACTCCAAAAGAGCTGAGTGTTTTATTTGATATATTATTTGATGAATATTATTTGTGATATTAGTAAAATTGTTTGGAACTTTTGAATGTTAATTTCCAAATTGAAAAGTATTAGAATGTCTCTGTCAGTGGCTTAAGTTATGAGTTGAGCAAAACTCTATGTTCTATGACGTGATCTAACTGGACCAAGAAAATTGGAAATTTTTATAAGATTTTTCAGGTTTATATAGGAGCCCTTATTCAAATTTTCTTTTAGGGTTTTTTGAGGTTAATAGAAATGTATTCATTTATTAACTACTGTACCTATTATTATGATGTATCATGTAGTGTTTTGTTTTATAAACATATTTTTTTATATAATGTCTTTTTTTTTATGGCTCTAGACAGAAGCTGTTGCAGGCAGCAGGATACATGTTTTCTCACTTAGCTTGATGATCAACACTTGTTTTCATATGGTTTTTCTCCATATGTGATACAGGTTCATTAGTGATACAGATTGTTGGGACCAACATGAAAAAAAAGTGGTTTGACATTTTCATTCAGATGAGACATGAATTTCCTTCCTTTCACCTATTGCATATACTCAAAACCCTATCTTTTTTTTTCTCTCATTATCACCATACCATTATCATTATACTTCAGTAGATAATCCAGTATTATGAAAAACTCTATGCAGGTAAGACTAACTTGTCTGCCTTCATGACCCATTTCTAGACTTTGACACTAATTCTTTGTCTTTGATCCTGATATGTGACCTCAATGTTCTGAAAGAGTGAGTATAACTTGTAATGTACAAATAGTGATTTCAAGTGTGAACTCTTTTGTCTTAATGATCTTCATGCTCCTATAAATTATAGCAATAAGACCCAAGACTTAGGGAAAAGGGTTCTCAACTATGAACTCTCTTGTGTTTATGATTTCAATGCTTTTATATATATAGTAATGAACAGATATAGTTACAGCAATAAGCAGACCCGCTCGTAGACTTGTCAATAAGGTATTGAGGTAATATGTCTTGATTATCAAGTAGCTCTGGTCAATCGTGTATTATTTAATATTAATGTTAAATACCTAATAATTTTTTAGTGGGTATCCCCGTCGTTCAGAAAACAACTCTCAAACAATATTGAAAAAGTAATAGAGTCATTTATGAAAAGACTGCTGAAGTAGACAGGATCTCAAGCTGTACAGGCAGGGTATGGATTTTTGACTGAAAATAACAAGTTTGCTGGTGACCATACACACTATTGGGCTTCCCCCTGTTCTTCACACCCCTATTTATCCACACACAAACACTTTCTCAATCCCGACAGGTCTACTCTTCTGATTTTATTTACCAGTTCATTCGACTTGAGAGTTCCCTTTCAACCCCCACATGCGTGTCTTTCAGATCACACAGTTAAACCAGTTCATTTCCGTGTTCTTCCATCCAAATCACCCCATCTCCTCTAAACACTCATACATTTGTTGATATTCACTTTTAGACCAGCCAAAGTATTAACATTGTTTCTCTAATCTTTAATCTCACAAAATGATTATCCGAGATTTTGGAAAACGGCCAAAATATATATAAAAAAAACCTATTGGACAATACTTACCAAGGGTATAAAATTTTCATTTTGAAAAGTGATAAGGATAATTTTAAGACGACTATTAAGGCCTCGAAGGTATGTCACAGTAATATTTTTTTAATTAAATTACATTTACTATATTATGCTGAAATTGGTTTTCAGTTAACCATATATTTAAATGAATTTATCTGTTTAAATATGAACACCCTATATTTTGAAATCTGACACGGAGCTCTGTAGCGCAGTATAGTCAATATTTAGACGGATGTATGCCTTATATGTGTGATGTAAAACAGCGTTATAAAGGCTTATTAGATGACCTCTCTACTCCATTATATCTAAGTTGATTTCATTGCTTTCTCCACGAGAAGTTCCTGGGGCTTTGTATACACGAGGACGGAACTAAATACTCAGGGATAAGTGAAAGAAAGCGAGTATTTTGTTGTGAATGCATTGCTCTATGTGTTTGGAACCTTCCTGCAAATTTGCAGACTATTCCAACTATTGAGCCCATATACAACTTATACGGAACAATAATTGTCTTCATGTAATGTAATTTTAGAACTAGCGATTAGTTTTTTTTATCGTGAATGGATTGCTCTCTAGTCTTGGAAACTACAATAGTTTGTGTTGGAATTTAGTATCCTTGGCAATCTGATTGCCACTCTGCCACCCACTGCGTCAAGTTACCGTATAATATACTGTATGTGAACATTAATATTTGGAGAGTATTCGCTTTAAGGTAAATATAATATAAAACTATATTTGCCGGTAATTATAATATAAAACTATATTTGCCGCAATCGGTCTCTAAACAGTTTTTTTTTAGTTTTGAATAACCCGACAATAAAAAAGAGAGGGTTTTCCTAGCAAAATTTCCCTCAATGCACACTGCGTGGCGATGATTATAATAGGTCCAATCACACAAAAAGAATAGTGTGTAAAACTACATTTCAATTCATTAGTTTCATTAAATACGGTAGAAAAGTAAGATCTAAAAAACTCCATTGCACGAGCCCAATTGGTACAGAACAGTAGGTCATAAAACTACATTTCAAGTCATTAGTCCAATTATGTACAGAAAAGTATGATATTAGCTCAATAAGGTACAGAATAGCAGGACATTAATCCCCATTCCGTTTCATTAACTTACTAAGGTAGGCTACTGATCAATAGTAAATAATTAAAAATCCATTTCATTAAAGATACTGAACAGTAGGATATAAAACTCAATTTCAATTCATTGACTAATTAAGGTACTGAGCTATAGTAAATAATTCAAAATTTCATTTCATTTTCAGAACAGTAGGATATAAAACTCAATTTCATTGACTGAGTAAGGTAAGTTCGTTATATCATTAGTTTAATAAATTTAAAGAAGAGTAGGATATAAAACTCCATTTCATTTCATTAATCTAGTAAGGTACAAAGCCGCAGGATATAAAACTCCATTTTATTTCATAAGCTGTAGGACATAAATCAAAATTTCATCTCGTTTCATTAAGGGTAGAGAACAGAAGTATATAAAACCCCATTCATTTCTTTACTCCAGTAAAGTACTGACCAGTAGGATATAAAACTCTATTTCATTCCAGTATCCCATCAGAAATATAAGACGTATAACAAAAGAAGTAGTCAAAACAGGAGCAGAAAAGTAGGACGGACTGTTTTTATGTTTCCCGTCGTTGTAAGCTGTCTATAAGAGATGTTAAAAGCCATGGCAATTCAATTTACGACATACTAATCTGATTACCAGGGCAAAGATACTTTTAATGTTTTTACTGACACTTTCAAATTATTTGGTGCACTATAAGTCCTAGTAATGATAGGAACTGGTTTAAGGGACAAGGACGTGCTGGATTTGAGACAAGAGCTCAAAAGAAGACATTTTCCGTGTGTTCATATTTACAAAACAAAACGTAGAAATGGCGACGTGTCGTGTTGATTGGCCGTTTTGAAAATCACTCGACCTCATGAATACTTAAATAAATTTGAGGTTTCCATGTGGCAGTAACAATAGTTTTAGACGTGTTAAAGCTGGGTGTGTTTAACTGGACAATTTCGAAATCATCGATGTATCATCGGTTTGGGGTATTGGCATAGGGCACCAATCGAGCACGGACTTGCAAGAGCGTGGAGTTTCACATGTATATCCCTTATACCGACCGTGTCTTACAGAGACCTTTTAGTTTATTTTTTATGGCCTATATTCAATTTAGTGTTATTTCCACACGAAAACTGAGATCTAGAAAATGCAATTGACTAAAAACGGGGAAGTTGAAGGAATTGTAAAGCGGTAGGGTTTATAATACTTTTTTTATTTGGATAGGAGACACTGATATCATCAATTTGCACCATTACTATTTTCAATCAGACGTCTGTGGTTCCTATAATTCCACTAAAACTAAATATTTGATATCACTTTAATCGCAAAGGGCCTTATGTGATAAAACATTTTTTGTGATTTGTGACGTCATCATACACATAGTTGGAATTGCAAGAACCACAGACGTCTGATCAAAAATCGGAATAGTGCCAATTGATGCCACTTTACAATCCCTTTAAGTTGCGATATCAAGAGTTACGCCCCATACGAGGAATACACGATTACCTTTGTCAGACCAATTTGTCATAGCACCGTCATAGGACATCAAATCTTATTATCAAATACAAACGTATTCGTAAGCTTTATGATGACAAAAAGGAGAGCTCGGCCTATGATAGCCTATGATACGTGGATTACTCTCACTACCTCTGAGAGTATCATTCTGAGGCACCGTCATAACAATCATGTTAAAAATAGAGCAAATTATAGAAATTGAGGAAAATGAGATCTAATTAGTGTATTATTGATTATCCTTTATATAATTCTATCATTGGCCTTCATTTGATTTGGATAGTTCTGCCAGGTAAGCACGAAACTGTTACTTTCTTTCTATCTTGGGATGAATGAATAAATGGATACGAGGGTATATCTGACTATTATGTAGCGGAATATGTTTATGTGGAGTTTGGTGATATTTGCTTTTACTCTTATTTGGTTTGGAATTTGTGTGAGATAAGTACGGTACCGACTCCTTCTCTCATTCAATGGACGAATAAAGGCCTCAGGGAAATGAATAAATGGATACTCTACAGTAAAGATGTAGTGTAGGGTGATTTTCACTTAATTCAGCCTGTTCTGCCAGATAAGCACGCTATTGTTTCTTTCTCTCTATCTTACGGGTGAATAAAAAAGTCGGAGAGAAGTAGGGGAGCAGATAGAAAAGTGGATTGGGATAGAACCCCATTATTATCGCCAGCTTAATTAACTGGTTATTTGGAAGAGAATCCTTATTATCAAAATTTAATAGCTGTAGGGAATAGAGGTTGTAACTTGTAACTTTGCATTTATATAAGCATGTTGCAACAAAACAGTCACAAAAACATGATATGAGTTTACTCACGTAGTTCCTGATATACTGTGGGGATAGACAGAGAGAAAGAATGGACTGATGAATGAATGAAGCTATTTTGATATATCGTAATATTACACTAGACATGATTGCATCAAAAATTCCATGTTTAATGTCATAAACAAACATAAATCATCGATAAACCTAGATTCCACACGGAATTGTCTTTGTTTAGCCGGTATTTGAACTTTCAGGAATCCTGCTAGTCCATTGTTCTGTAATAATCAGGAACAAAGGCTCCAGATTTCAATAATAAACCTACATGTAATTGGACAAGAAAGGCAGGTCCGTAGGGAGGATCTCCTTTCATTTTCAGTTGGGAGCATAATCTTATGTGCAGAGGCGTAATTAGTTTCAAACTTGGTCCGTAAAATACTTCCCTCATTGTGCACAGCATATTCATCAATCAACAAGATCTCAGATATTTGGTGGAAGGGTCGGGGAGAGATATTTGTCACGGATTTTTATATTGGCCGAAAAATACAATCTTTCATAACTACTCCAAAACCCATCCGCGACGGGTCGACGGGTCTTGTAGAACTACCTCCTAAAACATTGACTGGGAAAGCTAAAACTTGCTATCAACCTTCTGCCTTCATCTCAAGGACGTAGTCTGGTAATGAATTAAATAATATATTTCTTGTAGAACCAGAAAGGCGAAATATATTTTGAATTATTCAAATGAAAGTGGAGTAAAAAAAGTTGAGCAGAGTCTTTGTCTTTGAGTGTTTCAACGACCTCTATTTTAGCTTTCAACAAAGATAAAGGGGAAAAGATGTTCTCTGCAGTGAAACTTGTAACATTACTTTGATATAAATGAAATAAAAGTGTTAAGAAACTTTGGGAGTAAAAACTGAGCCTATCTGTTCATGATAGATTTGGTAATAAATAGATGAGTTCCAGTATACCAGTGGTGATCATTCTGTATATTGGAACTCAGAATCATCTTCCTGCATACGCCCTTATTAGTATTATGTCAGCTAGTTAAGTAATTTATCGTTTCCAGACAGAATACTGTCCATGTATAGAACAATAGAACAACAACAATTGGATATATCCGTAAGATGACAACGATAGACGATTAAAAACATGGAGCTAATTAATTTAATTAGATTTCAGATAAATCATGACTATGTTTGGTTTCTGTCGCTTGGTAATTATCGGTCCCCGCTTGTTTATTCGTCTACTCGCGATAATTTCAAATCGAATATATAACATGTAAATTCTATTTTGATCAATCTCTCAAATTTCAAATCGTTGAATAAAATTGTTTCTTGTCTTATATTTCCTTATTTCACCTGATGATAACAATGTATATTGTTGAAACGTTGTTTACTATATATTTCAGGATTTGTATACCATGAAACTGTGTTCGTTATTTAAATAGGTTCTCGTTTTAAATCGGAGAGAACAAACGCTATAGTTGCCAGGTTGGAAACGCATCATACGCTAGAGACTCGTGCGTCTGGTTTTGTTTCCCATGTTCTTTAGCTCAATAAGGTGAAAAAAGTAGGACAACAATTGTTCACATGCTTTGTTTCCTACTTCATGACCTAGGTCAGTGCTTATTTGAGAATACTATTCTCAAGTCATTTTGTCAACAGTACTAAGATATCGAAAAGAAATCCAGGTTTCTCTTGATTGAGCACATTCTCCCCTTTTTCTTTTCAGACGAGGTAAAAAGCTAAAATGGGGACGTGTGCCTCCAGCAACAACCTGACGGGGGCCACCAGTTCCAAATCGTCTGGTCACAACCCGATCATCACCATTTCCGAATCGTCCAAGAATGTTCCTAAACCTGTTTCTGGGACAACTAGCAGTCCAAGACTATCGGAAACCAAATTATCATCTAGGAACTGTGTTTCAAATTCTCCAGAACTGAATCAACTAAATCCCGCATCAGCGATTGTGAATTCCCCGGAGCCTTTTATAGGTTCTCCAGATTCCGGACTAGGACATACTGGGGGTACATCTGGGAACGGTGACACTCCCAACTATGTTTTGTTGCAAAACGCTGTACAGAAGGAAGACGATAATTTTGATCTGAAGCAGTTAGTTTGTGATGAGCGTGGCGATGATTATATTGAAGGTGAGTGCCTTTCATTCCTATACGCGTAAGGGCTAGAATGTTTTTTAAGAATTCACATCTGCCCTTCTTATCCAAGAAGAATGAATATATGCATGGGCGTATAAGCCAAACGTTTAGAGGGTCTGTCGTCCCTTTAAAAAGATTTTTCTCAACCGCTGCCCGTATTCATTTTGAGGACGGGAACTAGTTCCTGTATACTTTTCTGCGCCAAGGTTCATTCCCCATTCCACTGACTAAAATTTGTGCACACCCACCCGATCTCTCCTTTCCAGGTCTAATTTAATTAAATGTGTTCGTATGCTAGTAAATGTTGTGGAAAAAGAAGAGTTTCTTCCCTTCGGCTATTTCTGATAACTACTCACTGAATTGACCTTGAATTCACTGTCAAAGCATGCTCAGCAAAATTTCGAAATCACAATGAAATGTGAGTGATCTTGGACCACTGCATTTCAAAATGGCGGGAGAGAGTTTTTCTACATTCTCGCTCCATTCTACCTGCAGTAAAAAATAGATCTACTCCTTTGAGCAATTAAAAGTAAGTTAGGATTAGCCTACTCAACATTTTGAAAGTAAATCTTCCCAGTTCTGAAATCAGAATGTCAGCCGAAAAATCTAGAACTTTGAAAACCGCACTGAGTTCTACATCCCAAAGATTTTGCAAAATTAAAAATATAAATGAAGTAGGCTTATGTTATAATGAAAAGTAGAATGTAAAATTTCATTTCATTTTCCAGGTAAGTTTGATTCCATTATAAATTTCTACAGAAAAAGCTGGGATGATGTGTCTAGAACATGACTGATATGTTCTGAGAGAAAAGAGAGACAGACCTAGAATTATAAGTGAGTAGATTACTTTATGCGAGCCAAATATTTATAAAATCCTGAAACTTAGATTCTTTCAAATTAAAATCAAAAGCACCAATCCTCATCCACCTGCCCTTGTAAAACACTCTAGAATTAATAGTTTTTAAATGATTTTGACAGCAATGTATAGTACTAGCATATTCTTATCTAGAAAATGCCTGAGGGGAAGGGGGCAAAAAATGAGGAATCTCTCAAAAGTCCCACAGAATTCAGATGGCCTGAGAAAGACTTTGAGCATTGAGAGAGTTTAATTTTCACTAAATAATACACCACTGACTACATAATAATAATGAAAAGTATCATTTTCCACTGGAAATGAAAGATTGCCATTTTCCATGCAGGCAATTTAAGAGAGTAACCATTCTGTGTTAGTGAAGTTTCAAGTGAAGAAATTATTTTACAAGATAAAACTGAGCTTCCAGAGCCAATTTTATTGGACTGGAAGGTATTTGGGGTTAGTTGAATGCACTGTCAAAATTATCAAGTACTAAATAGCTCAAAATCGAAATATTGCGATTCAGACATGGCATTAGTCAGACAGTAGGTGATTAAATTTGCCAAGATAATATTTTAAAAAGACAGCACCCATACCCTTCCCCCTAATTAGTTGATGATCTGTGTAAAGTGGTATATAAGTTTAGAATATATCTGGAAGGTTTAGGTAATCAGATTTGCCAAGATATTATAACAATATTATTTTATTATATTGATTATTTTAAGAATAATTTGTCTCTCTTATATGGTGTCATTGATTGTCAATATTTATACACCTGCAGTAAATGTGGACTTTTTAACTGATACACACAAACAATAGTTAACATGGGGCAGAGGATAGACCATTTCTACAATCTCATTGAAATATAAATGTAGATCAGTTCAATAATCAATTCGATAGTCCAAAGCTAGTTCTACATGACTGTTAAATACAGTATATCCTGCTCACGCGACCACCTTTATTAAGCAATCACCTTCAATATGCGACTACAATAAAATCCCCCCTACGAGTTTTCAATATAATTAACGACTGATAAGCGACCACCTTCATTACACAACCAGCGACCATGTATTTACACTCCCGTGTAATCATATTGAGTCAATTAAGCGACCATGACACTTATTAACTCCCTTGATTAAACATCTCGTTCTTTCACACATTGGTGAGATGCTCCCAGAATGGTGTAGTAAATGGACCATTGTTAAAGGAATAACATTGTTTTTGGTGCTATGAGTGTTGAACGCGAGGATTTCTAATACATAGAATGAAATAGAGGAAATGAATGAAATTGTTTCAGCCGACTCAATTCTCCAGAGACCACCTCCAGTAAGAGTTAATACAGTTTTTACTGTACTATTAAATCAGGAGTTACCGGTAAGAGATCTAGTTAGACATGACTGGTAAATATAACCAAATCAAGAATCTAGAGCTCTAGTCAGATAGGACTGGTAAAATATAGTCATATCAACAGTATAGAGATTGTCATTCATGACTGGTGAAATAGGCAAATTAACAGTATAGAGCTCTTTCTCGCATGACTGGTACATACAACAAAATTAACAGTCTAGAGCTCTATTCAACCATGACTGGTTCATACAACAAAATTAACAGTCTAGAGCTCTATTAAAGCACGACTGGTAGATACAACAATATTATCAGTCTAGAGCTCTATTAAAACATGACTGTAGATACAACAAAATTAACAGTCTAGAGCTCTATTAAAACATGACTGTAGATACAACAAAGTTATGTGAGCTCTATTAAAGCATGGCTGGTATATACAACAAAATTAACAGTCTAGAGCTCTATTAAAGCATGACTGGTAGATACAACAAAGTTAAGTCTAGAGCTCTATTAAAGCATGGCTGGTAGATACAACAAAGTTAAGTCTAGAGCTCTATTAAAGCATGACTGGTAGATACAACAAAATAAGGTCTAGAGCTCTATTAAAACATGACTGTAGATACAACAAAATTAACAGTCTAGAGCTCTAATAAAGCATGACTGGTATATACAACATTAAAAGTCTAGAGCTATATTAAAGCATGACTGGTAGATACAACAAAATTAATTCTAGAGCTCTATTAAAGCATGACTGGTAGATACAACAAAATTAAGTCTAGAGCTCTATTCAACCATGACTGGTAGATACAACAAAATTAAGTCTAGAGCTCTATTCAACCATGAGTAGTAGATACAACAAATTAACAGTCTAGAGCTGAATTCGGATATGACTGACAAAATAATAGTGAAATGAACAAATAAAGGTAGACTAATTCCTATAGCTGAAGTCAAGCATGACTGGTAAATTCATCTTGATCAGAAGCCCTTGCTTGTATAATTGATGTAATTAATGAAATATTTGATAAATTGATTAATAATAGTGTAAACTAGACACTAGCCACCTGTTGCCTTGTAGATTTTCTGACAACTCTGATTTTCTTATTTACTTTTCATTTGTTAAAATGTCAATTTGAGATTCAAACAAAGGAAAATGTCAATATTTTAAACCTTAATTTCATTAGGAATCAAGGGGCCTAAGGTTGTCTCTGTGAGTGAGGTACTTTAAATTAAAGTAATTTACCTTACCAAAAATTCTTAAAATAATAATAACAAAATGATAAAAGATGTCCTAGAGACAAATTCATAGCCGGACATTCTCAAGGTTCTATGAGACAGGACTGGTAATAAAGTTCTTTATCCCTGGATCTGATACAGAATAATATTATATTGATAATGTCTATATGCAACTCAGACCTATAAATAGTCTAGCTTCTGTATTTGTCAATGGCTTTAGGTTATATTGTCATTTTGACATATAAATATAATTAAAGTAGTATTGCCAGGAATATATTTTAGACAAAACATATCAAGTCATGGAGGGAAAAATGACACTATATTAGTAACCTCTCCAAGGGAGTCCTTAAACGGTGTGGAAACATAAACCAGCCTGTGCCGCTTTAACTAGTGTTTTTGTCTGTTATTAAAACCAGTCATTGCTACTTTAACTAGATGGCAGTGATTATTTTTGTCTGTTATTAAAACCAATCATTGCTACTTTAACTAGATGCTGATGGCAGTGATTATTTTTGGCTGTTATTGAAACCTGTCAGTGCTACTTTAACTAGATGACAGTGATTATTTTTGGCTGTTATTGAAACCTGTCAGTGCTACTTTAACTAGATGGCAGTGATTATGTTTGTCTGTTATTAAAACCTGTGATTGCTACTTTAACTAGATGCTGATGGCAGTGATTATGTCTGTCTGTTATTAAAACCTGCGAGTGCTACTTTAACTAGATGACAGTGATTATTTTTGGCTGTTATTGAAACCTGTCAGTGCTACTTTAACTAGATGGCAGTGATTATGTTTGTCTGTTATTAAAACCTGTGATTGCTACTTTAACTAGATGCTGATGGCAGTGATTATGTCTGTCTGTTATTAAAACCTGCGAGTGCTACTTTAACTAGATGACAGTGATTATTTTTGGCTGTTATTGAAACCTGTCAGTGCTACTTTAACTAGATGGCAGTGATTATGTTTGTCTGTTATTAAAACCTGTGATTGCTACTTTAACTAGATGCTGATGGCAGTGATTATGTCTGTCTGTTATTAAAACCTGCGAGTGCTACTTTAACTAGATGCTGATGGCAGTGATTATTTTTGCCTGTTATTAAAACCAGTCAGTGCTACTTTAACTAGATACTGATGGCAGTGATTGTTTTTGTCTGTTATTAAAACCAGTCAGTGCTACTTTAACTAGATGCTGATGGCAGTGATTGTTTTTGTCTGTTATTAAAACCAGTCAGTGCTACTTTTACTAGATGCTGATGGCAGTGATTATTTTTGCCTGTTATTAAAACCAGTCAGTGCTACTTTAACTAGATACTGATGGCAGTGATTGTTTTTGTCTGTTATTAAAACCAGTCAGTGCTACTTTAACTAGATACTGATGGCAGTGATTGTTTTTGTCTGTTATTAAAACCAGTCAGTGCTACTTTAACTAGATACTGATGGCAGTGATTATTTTTGTCTGTTATTAAAACCAGTCAGTGCTACTTTAACTAGATGACAGTGATTATTTTTGTCTGTTATTGAAACCAGTCAGTGCTACTTTAACTAGATACTGATGGCAGTGATTATTTTTGTCTGTTATTAAAACCAGTCAGTGCTACTTTAACTAGATGCTGATGGCAGTGATTGTTTTTGTCTGTTATTAAAACCAGTCAGTGCTACTTTTACTAGATGCTGATGGCAGTGATTATTTTTGCCTGTTATTAAAACCAGTCAGTGCTACTTTAACTAGATACTGATGGCAGTGATTGTTTTTGTCTGTTATTAAAACCAGTCAGTGCTACTTTAACTAGATACTGATGGCAGTGATTGTTTTTGTCTGTTATTAAAACCAGTCAGTGCTACTTTAACTAGATACTGATGGCAGTGATTATTTTTGTCTGTTAATAAAACCAGTCAGTGCTACTTTAACTAGATGACAGTGATTATTTTTGTCTGTTATTGAAACCAGTCAGTGCTACTTTAACTAGATACTGATGGCAGTGATTATTTTTGTCTGTTATTAAAATTTGTCAGTGCTACTTTTACTAGTTGCTGATGGCATTGATTATTTTTGTCTGTTAGTTAAACCTGTCAGTGCTACTTTATCTAGATGCTGCTGGCAGTGATTGTTTTTTTTTTCTGTTATTAGAACCTTTTAGTGCTACTTAAACTAGATGCTGATGGCAGTGATTGTTTTTGTCTGTTATTAAAACCAGTCAGTGATACTTTAGCTAGATGGCAGTGATTATTTTTGTCTGTTATTGAAACCTGTCAGTGCTACTTTAACTAGATGCTAATGGCATTGATTATTTTTGTCTGTTATTAAAACCTGTCAGTGCTACTTTTACTAGATCCTGATGGCAGTGATTGTATTTGTCTGT